CAAATTTTGTTCGTAAGAAGTGTAAAAATGCTTGTATTTTCAACTTGTGATCAATAAAACTACTTTATATCTCCTGGCTGCTCAAAATTTTCAAAGAAAAATGAAGCTTGAAAATCCCATTTTCTGATTGATTGACTTTGAGAGACTGCGCTACATCAGTGACAGCATAAATCAAAAAGGCAATGCCTATTTTGGGATAAGAAACTACATAGCTTTCATATTTATCAATAAAAAACCCTATACAATAAACTTGCCAGATACTATTTTGAAACGTCATCTACCACTGTGCACTGCTTTGACAAGGTTGCTGTGAGCTCATTGGCATGGTTGCAAGCGTTTAACCATGGGCTCATCCAATCATATGCGCGAGCAGTTCTCCTATGTACACATGTGCATGTGCGTACATACGTCACCTTAGTATGTGCACTCAAGGTCAACCGGCCAACCGCCACTTTATACCATAACACGCACACGTGTTCACACTTCTGCGATTACTGTCCCGCACTTGGCTCACTTCATTCGCTTCTTATGGAAACCACAAGTTGTTGATTACATATTCAAACTGTTTTTTTTACTTCTTAGTTATAATTACATACATTTCCACGTTTATCGAATTTACTTCCCAAATTACCTACTACCATTTTAGATTTAGTTGAATTTTTTAAACTTCACATTTTTTTGGTCTTCAATCCCCTTTTGATACAGTTACATACATTTTTGGGATCCCTCTAACCTGTCTACAATTAGACTACACATATTTTTGGCACTCAAAAAACCTACATACCTTTTATTATGTTTGCCTTTTTAAAATTGGTTAAAATGCCGCCTAAGAGAAGAAAACATTTTGGACAGTGCACGGCTGCTGTTTCCGCTACAAGAGCAGCAAGGGCAAGTGAAACCACAGAGCAAACTTCGTTGCACATTTCTCAGATGGCCTCACACTCTGCTGCCCACATCTCCACAGAAAGTATTGCAGAATGGACTGAAAATGCTGGCATCAGTTATGTCATCACGACACGCTAGACTTTCAACTGAAGAGCGTTTAGTACAGAATTCACAGGATGCAATACGCCAGGGCCAGGGCTTCCAAGTCCCCAACACAGACAATCCTTCAGTGTTTAAGGAATGCCAGCACTACAGCATGTTCTAGAGCTTTAGAAAGCCCTGAACAAACCACTTCGGAATACTAGGGTGACATCTTCCAGGGTTTCAGAACAACCTCAACAAACCACTATTCGTCGTTTAAGAAATGCCAGAGCTACTGTGTCTGCCAGAGCTTTAGAAAGTCCTGTGCAGACCGCTAAACATTGTTTGAGGAATTCCAGATTTACTGCATCTGCCATCTGGGGTACGGTGAGCATGGCTCAACAACAATGGCTAAATCTAAGGACAGACGCTCAGCATCACAGGTTTGCATTTAGGTGACCAGTGTTTCACCCATGGACAGCTTTATGTAGGCTGCTCCCAAGTTGGGAGTAAGGATAACATTTATGTTTACTATCCAACAAACAAAGCTAAAAATATTACCTACACAGAAGTCCTATAGCCCATGGTCGGTCACGTTTAAACACAATGTACACATCTTTATGTCAGCTGCATTGTAGGTTCCTTCATTTTTGAACCCCGTTTATTTAAAGGTCGTCTTGCTCACAAGATGTTCTCTTATCACTTAAATCCCACCATAGCTGCATTCGTACTTACATGTCGACCATGTAACCATATTCAGTTGCAGCACAAAACCAATACGTGGGAAGGTGAATTCATTTGTCAGAGAAGTCGAGTGTGTTCATGCAATTCAGGCCTCAGCAAAAAGAAGTGAGATAATAAAAGAATAGCAGCATGCAGAATTATACTATGTATTCTGTGCCATACACCGTTGATGTGTTTCTCCCCTTACCATAAGGGCTGCTTTAGGTAACGCTATGTGCACTTCATGCTCACCTCAATTGGCTATAAAAACTACAAAAAAATTTGTGCCACTTACAAGTACTTGCACCGGCAACTTCCTATACTTCTGTTATGTGGTTCTGTTTGCAGTAGTGGCAGCACCGTCTTTTGGGCAAAAGACGCATGTACCTTCCACGCTATTGCGTTTCACTACGTTGCAACTGACATAGGGTTTCATGTAATGTCTAGCACTCGGGGATAATAAAACCATCCCATTGGAATACAAAGTCATCTGTCACAACTCACCAAAAACTTCCTAAGGCCTGTGTTCATATTGAACTTGACAACTTTTAATTGGAGGTGTCTTAGTAATGGCAAACTGCTGATGCTACCATGGCTGCCCATTGCTTCCTTTTAAGCCTTACCATTTTTATCTTCCGTTGTGCTGATGAATACTGACAACTTGTGTACATTATGTTTTTTACATGAGCGGCCATCTGTTCTACTAGACTTCAGCCTTAGATGCGTGTACACAATGAGTATGGCGGTTATGACCTTCCATTCAGAGGAAGTTTACTCGCGGGCAACACCGGGCTTTACTGCTAGTATAAAAATATGCAAACCAAATAATACAATGCAATCATTTACTAATTTATAAAGAAATAAATATGAAAACAATTTCTTTATTCATAAAAATATGAGCTAACTATAATGAAATCTTTAATATTTACCATTTTATAAAGTTTGAATGGATTGGCAATTAGCCAATGTTTTACTAATCATTTCAAAGAACACAATTCACAAGCTCCACTAATTGTTTTATTCAAAGTGTTTAGTGTCCTCTCTTCATTCATAATCTGGAAGATTTATTAGGCATTTTTAGAAAAATTAACAACAATTTAAAAATCTTTTCAAGATGATATTTTTTCAAAAAATAATAAAATGGATAACTTACTGTGTTACCTTACATACCCTAGATCATGATTATAAAAAAGTGGGAAAATCAAAATAAAAAGTAATCTGAAATATAAAATAATTTGAGAAAAAAATGTATAATGTCTGGAAAAATCTATATGTAAATTTTCTTATAAATATTTTAATAAAAAGATTTCTTTTTTAATTTATTTCTTTATAAAATGATAAATAATAAATCTTTATAAAATGGTAAGTAATAAATATTGCATTGCATTTGGTTCACATATTTTTAGAATTTTGTAAATAAACATTTCCGAAGGAGTTTCAGTCATATACAGTAATAGCAGTGTCAACAGAAAAAACATCCTTTTGAAACAGGGTTTTTATTTTTGCAGGTATGAAGGTTAAACTTTGCCCCCAGCTTTTATCTTTTCAGTACTCTCTATGCTGTAACAAGACTGTATGGTTCTATGTCACTTATCAATTTAATTTTAACCAATCTGCATTGGACTGGTTTACTCTTAAGTGAAAACTGTGATCTCCCTTTTCACTCTTCTGATTATTGAGCCCTTTCAACTTTTACACTAATCCTAGACTGCAAACAGTGCAGCGATTTAATATGTTGTTGATATTTGCATCTACAACAAATACAAGTAACAAAATAATCCTATTAGTACCAACACTGACTGATGTGGTAAATTGTCCAAGGCATTTCATAGTATCACCTTAGTAAATCTGAGTGAAGGTTTTAAACTGAGTTTGTGATATTGACATAAGGACATAACACTGCAGCAAGAAAGTAGGTAATGCCATCATCTGTATTCCCTACAGCAGTGTTTCTTAACCTTTTTTACTTCAGGGTGCACATTGTAGAATATCTAAAAGTCTGGAGTGTATTTAAAATTTTAACGAGGAAAAATTAGTCATGAAATTTGAAAATATGAAATTTTGGTTTAGCATTCCCAAATAAGATTAATACTACAGTTTTCATTTAAAGGGATTTATGAAGAATGTATTTTTTTTTTCTAGAGAGACCAATAATATTTAACTTAAATCCCTTGAGGCAAAAGGAAGAGATTTATCCACTCCTCAATGATTAAGGAATTTAGTATTCAGTTTAAAATATCAAATGACCAAGACTTGACTTAGACATGGAAGCCATGTGCTTGGTGTCTCTAACTTTTTTAAAAACATAAAAATAATTCATAAATTACTCTTCTGTTAACTTAGGGCGCACCGGTTGAGAAGCGTTGCTCTACAGTGTCAACCCATCCATTGTGACAAATAGCAAAATGGTTTTGCTTACCACATTTAAAGCATGTCTTTCCCTTAGCTAGACAATCATATGCTATTTTTAAGCACAATTCTTGCATTTGTTTCCCCCCGCCTTTTTCTACTGCTGTTACTGGGAAAGGGTCGATGTGAATCCTGACATTTGGTCCGTTTCCATCTGTTTGCTTGTCCACTTTTGTTTCTCTTTTTTTATTGTATCAAGTGCTAAATACTGCTGTTCATGTTGATGCACAATTGTTATTGTTCTCTTCATTGTGAAATCAGGTTGGAGTTTTTTCAACAAATCCTCCCTGTTACCAACCAAAAGTTTGTCCTGTATTGATGATTCTGTCTCCAGAAAGTTGGTGCATTCTAATAGGTCATACAATACCCAAATAAGGATTTTTATATTCTTGCCAGATTGTTGATATTGCTGGTGAAACATGGCCCTTAACACTTTAGCCTTTAACATGCTCAAACCCACCCTGTAAGTACCTGTAGTCAAAGTTTCACTGTTTGCATGACTTCCTGTATTATTTGTGATATTGTCATATTTTATGACAGAGCTTACATGGAGTGGGTTATAGTGGGTTGAACATTGAGAGTTGATATTTATGGAGAAGGTTGAATGCTAAAATGTTAAACCTAATTCAAAACATATCTAGTTTGCTAGCAGTTGTGTTTTCAAACCTTTGTTTGAATAATGAAGTATATAATAATGATAATTCTTTATTTAAAAAAATTCCAACATAAATTTTCATTACCCAGTTGAATGTGAGATAAATAAATCATATTTTCATAAAACCAAATCTCTTGTCATTTTGAAGAAACCAGTAAAGTTGAATGTTAATTTCATCTTATCTGCTCAACCATCAGATTTAGTGACCTTTGAGACTGGAATTTAAAAGCAAGAAAAAGATACTTACTTGATTTTTGTGGTTTCAGCAGGACCTGGTTCTGACAAGAGGATCATGGGTAAGGCAAGGTTTAGGAAACAGTTACGATACTTATCCAGTGGGAACCCACTTACAACTTTGAGCAACTCCACAGCCACCTGAAATTGAAAAATTATCTTTCTCAAACTCATATAGCTTTTTTTTTCTCATGTAAACACAAGCTTTTTTATTACTTGTTCTATTTTTTAATAATTATTACTCAACAAAATCACTTAATTACAACACCTATTTGGCAAAATCAATCATATACATGCACATTCACATGATCCACTAGATTTCAATAAGCATCAATACAACATAACAACAAAAAATTAGTTGCATTATGAATTGGTATATTTTTTTTTTGTTTGTTTTTAAGACAAATTTGACTTCAGAATTACTTGTAAGTTAATCTTTTATTTATTTTGGAAACATTCAGGGTTGTCTTCAAAAAATAACTTTTTCAATTAAACTTTTATTAAAAGGTTTTAATTCAAATTAATTCCAAATTACTTTAAAATTTTTAAATAGAAAGGAAAATAAACTTTTCTTTAGGATCAGCCTGTATTTTTTAATTTTCTGGCTATTCATTTATTATGGTGTGTGCAAAAGTTCCTAACACTCTTTTTTGAAAACTAGAAAGGAAAAACAAAGTTAAAAACCAGTTTTCACTAGAAACTTTAGCTCACATCTAATAATTTTAGTTTGAAAGTACTTCTGTATTTCTTTTAGCAATAACAGTTGCATTGATTGGTAACACTGATGGGAAAACTATACATATTTACTAAAAGGAAAATATTAAGAAAGAAGAAAAAAATCAATGTGGCTACTGACAAGTCCAGATACAGTAGCTGTGGTGGTAGCAATGGCAGGAACAATATGACCTGCAATACGCTTCACTTTCAGTCGATCAGCAGCTTCAATACTATACATGGCAGCACGAAGATTCTGAAAAGCAAAATAGACAAGTCAATCAATAAAATAATTCTTACAACTCATCTTAAAAATATTTGTTTATTTAGAGCATATTTGGAAGTTAGTGATATTTGTGAATAGAAAGAGAGAGAAGCAAAAAATATACTTACAGCAGATGATGTAATGAAGTCTACATGAGCATTAGTATCATCATCTTTTTCAAATTCTATCACAGTTAATGGTTGAGTAACTGTAAAAAATAGAATAATAGCCAGAAAGTAAAATTGAAAGTGTGCATATCTAGAGCTTATATTTAAGAACATTTCTCTTTATATATATATATATATATATATATATATATATATATATATACACACACACACTTTTTTAATTGTAACCAGTTCATCAATGTTAACTATAACCGACCCTTATTTGCTAGCAATTTAATCTGACATAAATTAAGTTGATATTCAGTTGTGATTGCTTATGCATTAATTTTATATAGACTTTGAATTCATTATGGTTATCTAGGTAAGCATGTATGTATGTTTGTATGTATGGTTGTTTCTACATCTTTTTATATATGTGTGTATATACTTGGTTACATATATTTCTGCATGTGTGTCTGTGTGTGTGTGTATATGTATGTGGGTGGGTGTATGCATTTGTGTATGCATATATATGTGTATATGTATGCATGTGGGTGTATGCGTTTGTATATGTATGTATGTATGTGGGTGGGTGTATGCGTTTGTGTATGTATATATATATATATGTATGTATGTATGTATGTGGGTGTATGCGTTTGTGTATGTATATTTGCATATATTTGTGTATATATGTGAGTATGTGTATGCATTTTTTATATTGGTATATATGCCATTTTTTGTATGTTTGTGTATGTATTTTGTTTGGACATGTGAGTTTGTTCATTTTTTTTGTATATGTATGTGTATATGTGTGTGTATGCATATGTCTTTTTTCTTTGTGTTGTCTATAACCTGATATGCGTATTTCAACTACATATATATATGCATGATGTATATGCATGTATTTGCACTTCTTACATTTATTTGATCTCCCTTTTTATCTGTATGTTTGTGTATATAAAATATTGATAGTTGGTTTGTGTTGTTTTATTAGTGTATTTATGCTTGAATTTTGGTAAGTTTGATTATTTGTATATAGGTGTGTGTGTGTGTGTGATTGCTTATATATGATTTACCTATATATATATATATATGTGTGTGTATATGTGTGTGTATATGTATGTATGTTTGCATGCTTTTTTTATGTTTGTCTATCTTTATTCTTCTTTTTATTCTTTATTTTATTATTTTCCTTTTTTGAATTTTTCCTTCTTTTATTTCCTGTGTGAATATCCATCCTTATATTTCCATGCTCATATATTTGATTATATATACGTGTTTGTGTATTAGAATGTGAATGTGTTTGACCTGTCATTTGAAAATTCCCTTCCCTAAACACCTCCTTATTTGAATTCAGACTTCTATGTATCAAATATGTGTAGCAATTGTAGATACTTCTTACATCAGCTTCGAAATTAACTGATAAATTGGCACTTCGCTAAGAAAAATAAAATATATTTTTTCTCCTAGTTTCATTTCTGAATAATGTTTTAATAATATTAAACTTGATGCTTGGTTAAATTTAGAATTTGACATTTGTAATTTTTTATTTTAAATTTAACTGTGAAATTAAAACTTGTTATATTGATTTCTAATTTAAACTAATCTTAACCTTAATGCACTAATAGATTGTATTTAGGGTCTGTTGTCATGTTATTTTGAATTATCATATACTTGTATTCTGATTGGTCATCATATAGGTTTTGTAATAATGTTTCCCTACTGAAGGGGTTTGGTTGGTTTTTGAACTCTTAAAACCCTTTATTTTGCTATCAACACCATCACTTGATAAGACACCGGTAGTGTTGAAACAAAATAGCAATTTTTGTAGTGATGTTATAACATGCATATATTATAATTTTGAATAAATATATACAATTACTTTAAGGCATTTTTTTATCTAAATAACCATCTTAATAGATGGTCTTTGACAGTAAGCATTTCACACTATCATCTTCCCTTTGTCATATCTTTTAGAATGTCAAGCAAACTCAGCTGGTTTTCTTTGACAAAAAGAAACAAGGAAATATTGTCTTTAATTCACTAATTCTGTTTAGAATTTGAAAAGACAGACTAGTTTTTCTCAATATCAGTGCCATCTTTTCAATCAATATATTTTGATCAAATATGTAATAAACTTAAAAACTGATAATTATGTGCTGGGAAAAACATTAAATTAAGTGCAGAGAATTAAGTTCTGGATGGCAATTAATTGTTTCCCACTTTAATGACATTGCACTTTAGTAAAACATTATAAAAATAAGGCATTTTAATTGGTCTCAAACAAAATGAACACAAACAGTTTGACATTTTTTCATAGGTAAATTGTTAAAGTGATCAACGATAATTAAATCTTTGGGAGAGATAGCCTCATTTGATATTTTATGCATATGGTTTGTAATTATGCTAAACAATACAAGTCTGTATTGTCTCACTATAACTTTGAGAAGAGTCATTAAGATATCCAACATTGTTCAGATGCACAAAACTCTTCTGTGTATATTTGCTGTTGTTAGTCAAGTCATTCTACATTATCCACTGTTACTGCTAGAGTTAAGAGCTTTCCTCTTTCTCATGAATTAATACCTGATGAAAGCTGAAGAATTAAAAATGTTGTATTAACAACAATAAAAATGTAAAGAGTTAGAGTGTCCAAGCAATGCTGGATATGCTCCATGTCTGTGTATTGGTTATTTTGATGAAACTGAAGGAAAGGAAAAAGTAATGAAATCTATTTAGAAATATTATTACATTGATATCTACAGCATGAAATATAAAGAAACAATTTTCACAGAATTAAAAAAAGTCATCATAGACTTTAGAGAATTATTTAGTCATGGCTGAAAATATCCCAGAAAGAAAACAAGAAGAAGTTTAATCTTCTCAATGCATTCTGATAAATTTTTGACATTTAAATTTCCCCACAAGCTTTTGCAGTGTAAATAAACAAAATGGCCACATCACTGCATTTTGCTCACCTTCTGCACCTAAAACAGAAGCAAGTTCTTACCAACATCATTTTTTTCATTACTTTGTCGTAAAAATTCAGCTGCCAAGTGGATTTCATCACTGGAGTGACTTTCTTCTGTCCGTTTTTGTGCAGATTCATCAGTTTCAATTTCCTAAAAAGAAAAAACAATCTTTTGAAACAAGGAATAAAATTAGTCTAAAAAAAAAAAAAATTTTTTTAAATCAGAGAATTGTTAATAAGAATGCTATTAGAATTTCTATGGCTTGATAAATATGAAAATATTCTGAAGATTTTTTTCTATTACAGATTTTATAAAGAAATTGACTGCAGCACATATAAGGATTAAGACTTTCTGTCAGATCATTAAAGAATACCTGCAATAAATAAAAACTTTTAATGTCAATTTGTATAGATGTTTGTTGAGTAATAAAAACTATTAAGTGAGATTTATACAATATACATAAACACAAACTGATGTTTCATTTTTAAAAGATTAAATGCAAATCTTGAACTGTCATTTTGTGTCATTATGTCAATTATTTTTGGGGTGCTGTAAATGAATTTACATTTTAGTACTTTTATAATGACATCTGATTCTTAGAAAATATTTTGGTAAATGCAGACAGACTCAGTGAGTTAACAGTATATTGGCTATATGGCCATTACATATGTATTGTTCTTAACAGAAGTTATCAACTTGGACTATTACTTCATACAGGATTCTAAAATGATCAAAATAAATTTTACATGCAAAAATAAATATCACCTACAATATAGGTTAATAAAATAGCCAAATTCAAACAAAATAAAAAATCTAATAACTATTATTACCACTTGTTTTATATATTTTGATTTGATTACTCTAAGTAATTACCATTCATTTACCATTGATTAATTGATAATTGTTGTCTCTCATTTAGCAGTGTTTAAAATGGCAACTGAAATTTTTCATTTTTCAGAGATTTGTAAAATGTACAGATTTTTCAGTTAACATTTGAAGTTCTATTTTGTACTAGACACAGAAAAAGACAAGTTGTTCTCTTCAGAAAACTTTTATGTAAAATTGAATCACTACAATTATTTTTATATTCAAAATTGCATTAATTTTAATTTATATTTTCTAATTTTTTCAATGGAATTTTTAAACTAATGTAGAAGTGAAACTTTTCTTTTTAAATTATTGATATGTCAAATTTCCTTTAGTCTGACTGGTAGATGTAAATTGTGCCGTATTCTATCATAGAAATATTAGCAAGGTTCAAAAAGCAAAGAATTGCTTACCTTGTGGGAGGGTCTGAACTCAGGCACTTGAAAGGAATCAAGGATGGGAAATAATATTTCTGGGCAAAAATCCTAAATTAGAAAATAATAGTGTTATATCTCAAAGCAACGTCTTCATGTTATATAAAATTGGTTTTGTTTTATGTCAGAATTTATCCATAACCTTATAACTAAAATTTCACGAAAGAAGGATGCTTACCTCTGTTTTATATTGAATGTGAAACGTTTCAGCATAGAGACGTGCTGTACTACAGATGAAAAGAAGATGCCTGAAGAAAAATTATAAAAGAAATGAGCAGACAACTTGAGGTATCAGAGAAACAGTCTTGTTAAAAATTGTAAATTTATAAGCAATCATTCTTCATGTTTGATGGTTCCATTATAGCATTTTTTGAAGCGGAGTTACGTCCCTTAGATTTAACTTGTTTTAATTGAAATTATTTTGATATGGCATGAATACAAGCAAGTGTTAAAAAGGAATTGGTCTAAAAAACTATTTTGTCACTTAGTCAGATTTTGTGAAACGGATTGTGCGTAGAATTTTTCAGCACCCCAACATAAAGAAATTGTAATTATCATTGACTGTCACTATTAAATTTAATAAAAATTTATTTTTTTGATTCATTGGGTAAAAAGCTTCTTTTGAATGCAGGAAAATACTATGATTATTATAAATATTTCATGAAAATAACTTAAATAGTACAATGGAATAAAAGTTAAATTAAAACTGTTTTATTTATTGACTTCTGTGCTTAACCTGAGATGCCCAAAATAATATATTCTGAGAAAATAAACAATAAAATAACATAATACAAACATAAAATCAGAAATGAAACCTTTGTAAAAATGAAATAAAGATAATATACTGTTTTCAGTAAATCTATTTGACAAACTTAACCTTCTTACTAATAGAATTCATCTCAAAATCAAAAAGAATCAAAAACAATTTTTCAGGTTTTTATTCATTCCCAAATCCCATGATAAAGCTGACCTTAAATTGTGTTGGACCAACCAACAACTCCAAGCAGCTTAAAAATCACAATATTTCTGACAAAATTTGGTCTTATTTTCTTTTATGTAATATGAATGCTTATCATGGTTGTGAACTATACATATGCTGTGTATACTAAATTTATCACACATACCATTGTCTACTAAAGCTATCTTTACTTAGAATAGATTTACAACAGTATACAAAAATGAAGGAAAAAAAGTATTTTGTAATATTTTTCCTTATTAAATATGTAGATAATAGCAAATTATCCACATTAAATTAGTTAAAAATTATTTGGATGTTGTAATAGCACAAAGAGTAATGTATATATATGTATGATGATAAAAAATTATAATAAAATAAGTGCACATATAAAAAATGGCAGATGATAGTCTTGCTCAGAAGATTTAAAGGCGATAATTTGTACAGTTTCAAATTTTGAAAAAAAATCAATGCTCATTCTTTTGGTAAAAAGGCATAGATTTGTGGATATAAACATTGAATTGAATGATATGGAGGTTACTTACAGAGGATTGGTTGAATCAAAGGTTAGTGGCACAGGGGGACGTTTAGGAGAGTGCCAAAACATTCCTGCAAAAGAGAGAAAATAATGGAACATTCTTGAAGTTTAAGAAATTGTCCTTTTATGTGTTGGTATTAATTAGTTGAGAACTTCAAAATGAAAGTAGTTTATGAATTTGCATAGATGAATATGAATGTATAAGTTTGTTTTTTCATAGTATCATTTTAGCTAAATTCAGTATGAAGATCTCAATATGATAATCAAATCAATCACAAATAACCAATGAAGAGCAATTTGTTGCCATGATGAGAAGATGGAGTTGACATTTAAATTTTCAACAATGATCATTATTTAAAAATAAAATTGTTTACTGAATTTACATTGTACTTTATGTAGTGGAACAATAATAACAAGAACAATTGTTTTTTGTTTGTTTGTTACCTCCATCAGCCAATTTGGTATCCAGAGGAAACGCCTGAAGTAAATGTTGAGCCTGTAATATATAATGTAGTCATTCAGATAAAAGTTATTAAATGATAATAAGAATATCAGCTTTGTTAAATTAAAACTAAAGAAAATTAAGTGTTTTTGTTTTTGAATGATTAGAGAAAATATTGTCATAATTGACAGAGTTTTAAAGTTTCACATGTTCATCATCTGTGGCTCAAAGCTTGATCCAATAAGGGAAGTGGAAGAGAAAACTTGCTTTAATATTTATAATCTTCTATATAATGAATCAACAAACTTTAAAGGAATTGGGTCAGCTGATCCTGTGAAAAAAATAAAAATTAGAGCCCCAAACTTTATCAGACATTAAATGTATCCTACAATCTTGTTTGCCCAATTTTGTCAAAAGATTCTGGGCTCATCATGTAAATTTGCTGTTTGTTTCATGTGTAGCATCAACATGAAGGCATTGATAAATACTGACTTACCTTGTAGTTGAAATATTTAATAAACTTGATTTTAGCAAGGTGAACACATTGAGTCCAGTTTTGTGGAGCATTGTGAAGATAATGTGACACTAAGACAGCATTTTCAACTGGTTCACAATTCAACAATCTCTGCAATATAAATGTTATTAAGTATTCTAGAGTCAAATCAATATTCCAAGATTACTGATCTTTGTATAGGCAAATAAAACTTTTTATAACAGATTGCTCATAGGAATCATGATGATAGAAAAATATATATTAATAACAAACTTTTTTGAGAATAATATTTTATAAAAATAAAATCTAAAAACAGATCTTTTCAAAAAGCAAATATACAATTTTATGCTTCCCTATTCAAGTGGCTTTCTTGTTAAGAGTTTTTATAGCTAATTTTCAAATTGATTTTTTTCTTAACTTACCTCAATAACTTCAGCTGGGGTTTTATTTATTGACCAAAATTTGTTCACCATATTAGGTTTTTGATAAAAAGAACTTTCAAACTGGAAAATAATAAAATGAAATGATGACAGCAAAGGAGAGTCTACATTATTCAGACTATTGTCCTCATCTTTGTCGCCATATTTATTACGTTTCGGCCATTGTACGCTCAGGCCTTCTTCAGGTGGTTGGAATGTTGAACTGAACCCATTATTTTGCTTACTGGGGTAGACTGTTCTAGTTCCACATGCCATGTTTAATGGATGTCAGTTATCTCCTATTGATTTCTCTCTGAAAGTTCTCCACTGCCTTAACCGGGTATTGAACTCACACTCTTTGGGTCCTGTCACTGGATCTAACTAACGCCTTTATGTGTCCTTGAGGGCACATGGCACAGTGGATAAAGTGAGCAAAATAAAGGGTTCAGTTTGACATTCCAACCACCTGAAGAAGGCCAGAGCATACAACGGTCAAAATGTTGTAATAAATATGGCGACAAAGATGAGGACAATAGTCCGAATAATGTAAATAATGTACATAATACCTCATCTCAGAAATATAGACAGATACTAAAGTAGAGTCTATAAATTATCCAAGATTCAATAAAACAAGACAATCTATTGCAATGAAGGAAAAAAACTAAAACAAGACTTACTTTGTCACGAGCCCATTGAATACAATGTTCAATATTAGCTGGGAATGACTTAAGAGTGCAATAAGGAACTTCTTCATCTTGTGGATCTCGCTGCAAATAGACAAATCAAACAAGATTTTGGCTCTTCAACAAAACTAAGTCAACAAGAAAGGAATGACAGTAATCCATCTTCTGATTATTTTGTTTTTTTTTATAATAAAAAAGAAACATAATGATGTTCTCTCAACTTCTTTAAGTCATTTGTGAAACTGGAAAAGTCAGCACAACAAAGATGAACATAATCAGCCAAAACATAATTGAATAATAAAAGGTAAAAACAATAATAAAACAAAATAGACACATTCATTTTTTATGAAACTTATTTGTAACTAATGGAATTATAGATTGATATAGCTAAGGTTTATATGATGAAAATGGTGGGATGAACTGACCAAAAGTCTAAAGTTTTTTGCTTGTAAAACTTCAAATAAATCTCTGAAACTCACAGATTGTATATCTTTCTTCTATAATTCTTTTTAGGGTTAGGATGGTTATTTCCAACTAAAAATCCATATTGGAATGGTTGTTCTAACAACTATTGTGAAACATAGTAACTAAACATAAAATATATTTAATGAGTTATATAGACATGTAATATATTACTGTCAGTGCCACACAAGACCAACTGGATACTCAGGGCCAATACAAAAATAATCATGTATATAAAATTTATTATGCAAGCCAATGTTTCCAGAATAAAATTAGTATTAACCAACCAATGTTGAGAAAATTGTCAGGATATATTTTTATAAGCAATATACTGCCTGTGTTTCAGCTTATAATAGCTATCCTTATGAAAAATAATGGTAATTTATTTGGTTGGTGTCAGTTTAAAATACAAACTGAGTACAGTTTATATTGGAACTTTTGAGGAGGAGAAGAAGAATCATCATCACCACCACCACTACCACATGAGTAATAATAATATCATCATCATCAAGAAAATGAAGAAGACACAGCAGTAGCAGCTCATATTGGTTGTACACTCACAATGTTTTCACTGATGTACTATCAGGCCTTCTTTAGGTATCTGTTGTCATACTTTGTAAAGTTCAGGGAAATTAAACCAAACCCTTTATTCAGTCCAAAAGGATAGATTGTTTTCATTCTGCATTCCATTTCTTATCTGTTAATACTCACCAATTTTATTCACCATTGTAGTGTTTGCCCATTTCTTCGACTGAACCAGAGTATACGACTTTTCAGCACTACTAGACCTAAGGATTTAACTCACAACTACTAGAGAACCAGATATGTTTTAACCAATGCTTTAATCTATGAGGTATTGGACAATCCAGTAGTGAAATTCTGGAGCCATAAACCCACTTCTTGATTTAAGACAGTAGAATTATAAGAGTGTTCTAACTAGGTGAAATTTTTAAGTGTTCTTCCTTTCTTAATCAGAGGACCCTAGATGGCATTCATCTTTATGTTAAGTCTACTGAGGAGGTTATCATTGCCTAAAATGTGCACTAATTCTTTTAGTCATCAGCAAAGAACATATTTCCAATTGATTTCTGACATACACTGAGAGAAGAAGATTTAGCAATGTGATCGCCTCTATATACATTGGATATTTGAGAAAACAGTTTTAGAAACATCATCACTGCAGTCAATCATGTAGCTTAGATATATAGATGACACTTTCATGTTCTGGCTGCACCAGGAAGATGTACAAATACTACTGAACTGCATGAACTCTATAAGGTCATTCCTACAGTTTAGAATGGAAAAAGAAGATGAATTGGCCTTACTGGCTCTACTAATAACTTTCACAGAGTATGAGTTGAAGACATAAGCCAGCATTCACTAGATAATACCAGATTTTCAATTTTTACTGTCAATAGTGTCATAAGGGAAACATCTGAAAAGATTCAGAGGAACTATGACCTATGCATTTGGCATCATATTCCATCACCAAATATCACTTTTTGACATAACTTTCTTTGTATTTATCAGAAAATCATGAGCGAAACCTCTATTTGGATGTTTTTGGGTGCTGAATCCATTTTGGTACTGTCCCCCCCCCGAAGTTTAAATGGGTTAAATGCAAAATTTAAGCTCTTTTCAGGAATTTTGGTTCATAACTACAGACCAGGCTTATTACATCTTAACCATTATTTTTTAATTAGAAATGTGCAAGTTTTGTTTTAATCTTCCTCTTAAAATTAATACAGTTCTAAATTGAGCTGAAAATCATTCAGGTGTGTTAAAAAATGTCTAATGTCTACTTGGTGAGCCCACTGTAGAGAAACTTACAGAAGGAAACAGAGCTAAAAATATATGTCCTTAATGAACGTCAATTAAAAAGCCAAACAAGAGTAAACAGAGAAAATTAAAAGAAACTAATGAAAAATATCATTCTAACCTGATTACTGTATGATTCTGTGAGGTAGGGAACAATTGTCTGCACATGTCCTTTGGTTCCCATAGTTCCAGACTCAAGTAGTGCTCTTTGGTTTGATACACAGCGACTGTTTTTATAAATAAAAACAAAAAAAAAACAAAACATGAAGCTAAATATTTAATTCATGAATACACACTTAAAAAAAATAAGTCAAGAAAAAAATCTTTGTAGTTTATCACTTACTCAAAAATCTACAGCTATTTTCCTCTCATTTTTGTTATAACTTTAACTACATGACAGATTTATATTTCTATGCATATGCATGTAGAAGAACTATAACTATGTATATATGTTTCTTTAGAGTAAAAAAGAGCTGACATTTATGTAAGGGAAAGCAAACATTTTCCACTAAAAACTAAAAAAAAAAGTGGGCAGCAACATTTTGGTTTAAATAGTTCATAAGAATTTCTTATCACTTAAAAATTATCTGATATTTGGATATACTGAATTTTTCCAGACTACAAATGCAATCTGTAGGAGGTTTGGAGCATTAAAAATTTGTTCATGGTTGAGATAACCATTTCATGCTTACATTTTTTTCAATACATTTAATGTCACATTCACTATTAGCAATATTTTCTCTCCAGTAATTTTAAGAGATAAGAACAAGAGAAATAACTTTTAAGATTAATACAAATTTTAAAGGCTTGGGTATCCATTTTAGTAATTTTGTTTCTAAGCAAAATAGCTAGTGGGCAAGCAAATCTAACTATTCAATTAATTGATGACCATTCATTGATTGCATTACAATATCAACTGTAATAATATTAAGAAAGACAAGTAAAAGTGACTTGAATGTTTCAACATCAAAGAAATGTCAACTGACCTGTCCATGTAACGACGTGCCTCAATATTATCAAGTGCATTGACTATCACATCTTGATTCTCAATGAAGGCATCTGGATAGATTTTGTTTTCAGTTTCAGGACAGACTAAAAAAAATAAAAGGCATAAAGGAAATTTTAAGAAATGTAGTGTATGTTATTTAATATATACAAGTGGGTATTGAAAAGTTCTTCACTCAACCCACTTCACCAAATCTGATATTTGATCATTAAAATACTGACTTTAGGAAGCAGGTTGGGCTGAGAACTTTCAAGTAACTTCTCATATAATTAACGTTCAATACATGTTTGTATCTAGAAAATTTTAATGCTGACTTATTCAATTGTCTTTAAATAATGTGTGAATTTAACTGGACAGTTATTTAAAGGTTTTGGAACCAAAGAGGAACATATTGTGTATATTTCAATGGTTCAATATTTCACAGGTGTGAGATGTTAGGAAATAAGATTTTGCATGAAAAAAACAGATTTCCTTTTTCTTTACATTGTTTTTTCATTCTTTCATCACTTTTCTATAAATTAAGTGCAGAGGCGAAAAAATGAAATTATTATACAATGATTGTTATTGATGATAAAAATTACTTGAACTAGTCGAATTCCAAATAGGCCATAACTTAAGCACAGGCTTTTTTTTAATATTCATCAATATGAAACTGATTTCATGTGACCCAAGAAATTATACTTCATTAGAAGTGCATGGAATTTGCTTATAAAATCAATCAAAAATTGCATGATTTACCATAGCAGAACAAAGCTTTGTTTATGGTCAATACACGAACATGCATGTTAATTAGGTATACCTGCCTATAGTAGGTAATTGAATGACAAAATGGGAAAATAAAACTTATGTTTCATACATAAAGTATAAAAAAGAAAAGAAAACACATAAAATGTTTTAGCATTACCTTTATTTTGATGGGCATCAATTTTCATACCTGAAACAAGAAAATAATAAAATGATTGGTTGATGACAATGGCACATCTTTTTGCAACTGGTCTGGACAAGAGACACTTTTTTCATACAAATATTTTAAAGATTTTCTTAGAGTAATTTAATAATTTTGCCATAAAAAGGCTCCAGCAATAGCATTTATCTTGGTCTCACCACAAAAAAACCTTCACTGTTTCTTTTCTGCTAAAGCAACTAATTCAGTTATTTCTGCCTCAAAAACATAAGAAAGTCTCTTAATATGGATATACAGTAGGGGGAAATAAATATTCGTACACTTGAAAAATTGTATTTTTATAAATGTAAAAGCCTTAAATAAAACAAATCTCGGCACATTTTATGTATAAATACACATACTATTAAAAAATAATAATAAACTTAATTAATTCTTATTCTAACAGAAATTAATGCATTTTTTTAATTCTAACTGGTGAAAAAAGTATTCGTACAAATCAATTATTAGAATAAAATAATCAATTAATTATGAAAAAAGTATATTCTAGAATGTTCCAGTAATTATAGTTAATGCTATTAGCCATTATCAGAGCATTCTGCAATTTCTAGTCTTACGAGAAGGTTCTAATAATGCCTAAAGATAAAGAATTGACTATTTCACAAAAACAACACATTTTGTCTCTTTGGAAAGATGGGAACAGTTACAGAATGATTTCTAACAACCTGAATATTCCTTTTACTACAATTGCTTCATTCATTGCAAGGTTTAAAACTCGTAACATCATCGAAAACCAAAGACGAACAGGTGCTCCGAGGAAGATTTCTCTAAGATCAGCAAGGATATTAGGACGCCAGATCCAACAAAATCCACAGGTTACCCGAGAAGAGCTGCAGGAATATCTGCGTGCATTAGGGATTAAAGTAACCAAGTGTACAATAAATAATGAACTACACAAAAACAGTCTGAAATCACGCGTCCCAAGGAAGACTCCACTCCTCTTGAAACGACACAGAGATGCTAGGCTAAAATTTGTTAGAGAGCATAAGGATAAAGAATATTCATTTTGGGAAAAAGTACTATGGAGAGATGAAACTAAAATAGAGTTGTTTGTTCATAATTATCGAAATCATGTGTGGAGGAAGGACGGTGAAGCCTACTTACCAAGGAACATGTTGACAACTGTAAAGTTTAGTGGTGGCAGTATCATGATCTGGGGCTGTTTTTCTGCAAAATGTGTTGGCAGAATATCAATAATAGATGGCAAGATGAATGCCGAAAGATACCAGAAAATCCTGCAAGATAATTTAATGCGTTCTGTTGAGAGACTTCGGCTACCTCCTTATTGGGTTTTTCAACTGGATAATGATCCTAAGCATACCGCTAGATCTTCAAGGAAATGGTTAGCTGAAAGTAACGTTGATGTCTTGCAATGGCCAAGTCAGTCCCCAGACTTGAACCCAATCAAGAATTTATGGCGATATTTGAAAATTCAAATTGGGAAAAGAGCACCAACAAATATCAAGAATTTGAAGAAAATATGCCAAGAAGAATGGGACAAAATACCACTCAATGTGTGCAAATCATTAGTTGAGACGTACAGGAATAGGCTGGTAGCTGTTGAACTTAATAAAGGATATTCCACAAAGTATTAAATTAAGTTAATATGCTTTTTTTGTTTTGTACGAATACTTTTTCATCAGTTAAAATGAAAAAATGCATTAATTTCTGTTAGAATAAGAATTAATTAAGTTTATTACTATTTTTTAATAAAATGTATCTTTACACATAAAATGTATCAAAATTTTTTTTAGTTAGAGCTTTTACATTTATAAAAATACAATTTTTCAAGTGTACGAATATTTGTTTCCCCCCACTGTATATGGGACAAAAGAGCAATATTAAACCAGATGTATCAAAACATTTTACAAAGCCTATACAACATATTTCCATATGTTGGTTTTATAAGGTAGATGGGGAATAAATTTAGCATTTGATGCTTTTCTATTACCTTCAAAGGTAACTTCAGTATCTGAAATTACAATTTTACAATGTAATCTCAATAAAAATATTAGGGAAGCAATGTGGTTAACACATCTGTTTTATGCCATTTACTATTCATATTCAACTGAAAGTTAGGCACTGATCTAATTAAATCTAATTTAATAAGGCATTATTTATTGTTGTAATTAAAACAAAAGATTTGGTATAAGGCTAAAAAAATTGTTGTTAACTCAACTTACTATATTTAATGACCCAGTCATTTGTCATTGTTCCTTTCACTACAATGTTGCATTTATTCTGTAATCTTTTATGCCACAATCCCCAAAATGTCCTGTTCTTATTCTAATTAAACTCATCCTGAAACTATATAAATATGTCCTGTTCTTATTCTAATTAAATATATATAATTAGAATTTTCATAGTAAGAACAGGACATTATATATATATATATATGTGTGTGTGTTTGTGTGTTAACATGTTTCCTCCCAACACTGTAATATGGCAGAAAAATAGGTTAACCAGTTAAAAAGACTGATGTTGGAAAATGCAGAAGTAAAATAAAAGGAACAAAAAGAAGCAAAATATTTCCATATCATCTGAGAATTGTATTTTCTGTCATCTCACAGGAAGAAGAGAGGTTAAGTGAGAAATGGAAATGTAGGGAACTAAAAACATAAAAGGAACCAATGAGTATACATTCCTTAACTCAGTTAAATATTTAACAAAAGAAGAAACATGACTCTTCTTAAAGTTGGGTTAGGCTGGGCTGGCAAGTCATTCTCGGAAGCACAAAATTCTTTTCCTAATCAGTTTTCTTGAGTTTCCATGCTAAGTTAGCAACTCTCATATGACACAGTTGTGCAACATCTACATACTTTTTGTCAAAGTTCTTCAAAGACATCATCTCCCACTTCACCCTAATCTTAATCATAAGCTGATTAAGTCTTTTGTGGACTTGTTTGTTTTGCCATCAACCACAAAATTATTATTTTTTCTCAGTAGTCCTCAATTCAAGCAGATCCACTAGTAAACCACATTTTACCAAGTATGTTCACTATTAGACCTATTACAGGAATTCTGTGATATTGATAATGCATAGGTGTGTAATGTTCTAGATATTTTGCCTCCTTTAATGTCATTGAGTAGCTTTATACTTCAAATACTCTCCCAATATGGCTACTAGCAATACTGCCACTATTTTTTCACATTAACCACTCTAGCACTAAACAATTTACATGTTAATGCATCTAGTCAATCATATTTATTTGACTTTAATCCTCTTTAAATTCCCCTTTTGAAAGTCTGTTAATTACAAATTTTTTTCAAAACCTACTTGCTATTCTTTTGTCTTTTTCATTCAATAATCCTTGTCTACATGAATAAAACTTGTTAGCATTATTTGATAATTTTAATGATTAATCTCTTATCTGATTTCATAGAAACAAATCAAAGTTTACCAAATTTAAAATGTCCAAATCTGAAGCTTCTTAAAACTATTTTTACTGGAAATGTGAAAAAATAAATCAGAAACAATCAAAGTATGTACATAATTTTATGACAACCAATTAATTTCTACTTAGTTATAAAAACAAATCTTCCATAATTTAAGTCTTATGTGACACTATTTAGCTATGGTAATTGATTAACTAATTAACAATAAAAACTGAGAATGGAAAGAAGATATCGTGAAAGATATCCTGTTCAAATTTTAAAAAAAGATTTTATTTTATTTCCGAAAAAGTTACTTTTCTCAAAAAAACCTGAGAATTGGTGTAAACAGTGAACTCACAAAAAGGCCATATGCAAGTTTCTGACAATTGATTAATGATATTTGTAAAAGTACTGGTTAAAGAAAAATGAAGAACAAGATATCATTTTAAGTACTGGCAAGGCAAAGCCACGTGCTGATTATAAAAATTTTGGCATGAGAAAATATTCTGAAATATTTGCCGATATGGTGTCACACTGAGTTGTCAGCCCATGGTCAACTACCAGTTGTGACACAAAACTGTGCTATTTATCCTACTGACGTTTTGGGATTGACTCTTAGTCACTGCCATGAGCCTGTGTCTCGGTTGATCGGTGGTCGTTGCTACCCATTGGAATCCTTTGGTCAGGGTACCAAGTGGGATGGTTGGCCGATGCTAACAGTTTCACACCAGCTGCAACTGGTTCGACACCAGCTCTGTCATTCCCAGCTCACTTCCAATGTCTGGTTACTGAAGTAACTGCTTCAATCTCAAGTCTAACCTACCCATGTTGTGATTTTGATCTTAGGTAGACAAGATCAATCAGGCATCGGGCTGTAGTGTAAGATGAGTCTAGATTGGAGGTGATATCACACAAGTGTAAAGAAAAGAAGCAAATAAAAACCCAAGAGGTTCAAGTATGTTGAAAGTAACAAATTAACTTTTATCCATCTGTTATATACAGGAGTGTGTTTTTTTCTCCCAACCCATTTCTTTGGAGAGTGACACTTTTACGCATCTTAGGCAAGTTCTGGTCTTCTAAGTCAACTGGTTTAGTTTTTAAGTGCTGGCTTAGCTTCATTCGTTAGTATAACTTGCTATTGATAGGATAGGTGAAGTCGGAGGTCGTGGAATCTCTCGGTCAGCTTCTGCGAGGCAACACTGGTTTCTGCCACTCGAACTGCAACTCCAAAGACTCTAACTGCAACTTGCTAACTGCCTGATGATGTTCGTTTATATGGACACCAACCAAAAACCGGTGCTGGTTTAGACGCAGTCTGGGGTTTTCAGTAAATCCAGATTTCTGACAAGAAACCTCTTTGTTGTCTGGCCAGAAAAATAGATTACTTCCCATTTTGGAAAATTAATCGCTTTTCATTTTGGGAGGATCCCTTCATCCGTGAAGAGAGGTTGTAGTAGAACTATCCTCCCAAACTTCTTTCTCACATTGATACTTCATACCAAATCCTTTCAGTGGGCGTTAATAGTTTCCCTGTCTTTCTTATCAAATTACCTCTGCCTATCACCATTGCTACCATTCGACCAATGACGTCCCGCCTGTGTGGGTGTGGCTAAGCTGGCCTCATTAAAATTATAACCTAGAATTTTTTGTTTACAAAATTCTCATTCCCACCGGCCCAAATTCTTATGAATACCATATGGCCACTTAAAATCTCTCATATCTTTTGGTCACTTTGTGTCTTCTTAACCAGCACTTTGTACAAACACCATCAATCAATTGTCAAAGTCTGCTATCTGGTCCCTTCATGAAATTAGTGTCTACAGGAACCCTTGGCTTTTTGAAAAAAATAAAATAAATTGCTAATAAATTTCTTTATCTTCAAATCGGCAATTCTCTCGAGATATTTTCTCATGCCAAAATTCTATAATCGACATATGGCTACTTAACATGTCAGTACTTAAGATGACATCTTGGAAAAATGAACAAGGGTAATTCTCTCTACCCTGTATTGACAAACACTCTGGAATATTTTCTTATGCCAAATTTTTATAATTATCATATGGCCTGGCCTTGCCAGTACTTAAGATGATATCTTGTTGTTGGGTTTTTCTTTAACCAGTACTTTTACAAATATCATTAATCAATTGTCAAAAGCTCGCATATTACCTTTTTGTGAGTCCACTGTTTACGCCAATTCTTGGGTTTTAGAGAAAAGTAACTCAATCTTATTTTTAACGTAAAAAATAAAAATCTTGGGGTAACTTCTTTTCCAATCTCAGTATTTTCATGTATAATTTTTAGGGTTAATTAGTTAATTAATTACCATAACTAAATAGTGTCACAATGGGGTCGAGAGAATTATCATTATTTATTTTTCTCAAAGAAGCCAAGGGTTTGCGTAGATGCTAAACTCCATGAAGGGGACAAAATGGCAGACTTTGACAATTGATTGATGACGCTGTAAAAGTACTGGTTGAGAAAAACACAGAATAACCAAGCATGGAGGATATGGTTTTAAGTGGCCATGTATTGATTATAGAATTTTGGCATGAGAAAATATCTTGAAAGACTTGCCAATTTGAAGATAAAGAGATTTATTTTTCTTTTCTGGGAAGCCAAGGGTTCCTACAGACTTGACAATTGATGTTGTTTGTAAAAGCATGGGTTAAGAAGACGCAAAGTGGCCAGGAATGTCAAAGATATCAGTGACTTTAAGAGACAGAGCCATGTATTATTCGTGAGAATTTTGGCCAGTGAGAAAGAGAATTTTGTAAACAAAAATTGTAGTTTATTATTTTTAATGAGGCCAGGTTAGCGACACCTGTATGGCCAGGACGCTATTGGTCGAGTGGTAGCAATGGTGATAGGTGGAGGTAATTTGATGAGAAAAACGGGGAAATTATTAATGCCCACTGAAAGGAATTGGTATGAGGTGCCAATGTGAGGAGGAGGGAATTTGGGAGGATAGCTATCCTGCAACCTCTCTTCACGACCAAAAGGATCCCTCCAGAAATGGAAGGTAATTAATTTTCCCAAAATGGGAAGTAATCAATTTTCCTAGCCAGACAACAAAGAGGTTTCTTGTCAGAAATCTGAATTTACCAAAAACCCCAGGCTGCATGAAACCCCGCACCAGTTTTTGGTCGGTGTCCATATAAGCAAGTGCCCTCGGGCAGTTTGCCACAGTAGTAGAATTGTTGAGAAGTTTCAGTCCAGCAGTTCAAGTAGCAGGAACCAGAGTGTTTCCTCACAGAAGATGACCAAGAGATTCCCCAACCTCTGACTGTGCCTTTCCTACCAATAGCAAGTTATAATTATAAACGAAGCTAAGCCAGCACTTAAAAACTAAACCAGTTGACTTAGAAGACCAGAACTTTCCTAAGAAGCATAAAAGTGTCACTCTCTGAAGAAAAGGGTTGGGAGAAAAAAACACACTCCTGTATATAACAGACGGATAAAAGTTAATTTGTTTCTTTCAACATACTTGAACCTCTTAGATTTTTATTTGCTTCTTCTTTATGTTTATGCGATATCACCTCCAATCTAGACTCATCTTACATTACGGTCCATTGCCTGATTGATCTCATCTACCTAAGATCAAAATCACAACATGGGTAGGTTAGACTTGACACCAAAGTAGTTGCTTCAATAACCAGACATTGGAAGTGAACTGAGAATAACGGAGCTGGTGTCGAACCGGTTGCATCTGGTGTGAAGCTGTTTGAAATCAGCCAACCATCCCACTTGGTACCCTGACCAAAGGATCCCGCTGGGCAGCGATGACCACTGATTGGAGTTGACCATGTGCCGATGACACAGTGTCACACTTACTAATTTTATTAAAATTGTGAAAACTATTATACTCTCGTCCAGTAAGCAAGATTATATTAAGGAAGTGGTTTGCCAAGTTCACCTTCTATAGTTGATTTTGCTGTTTCTATCTTAAAGAACCTTATTGGCTTCAGTGTTTTTTTCTTTGATTATCTCTAATTAGCATCAATAGTTTGTAGTAGAAATAGGAAAACTTTTTATGAAAAAATACAAAAGAGTCACAACCTAAATAAGCAACATTGTCAATTATTCTTTTTTTCATGGCTAAATCAAAACATTTACAAAGGAGCTGTTGATTGAGATTCTTGCAAATATCAAACAAATTTATGCAGAGATCACAAATATTTCTCAGAATTGCTTATAATTAATATATAAGTGTTAAAACTAGAATGTGGTCTCTCCATGTGGAAAACATGAAATAGGTTAGTTCAATCAAAGGGCATTTATGGTTGTGTATTGGTTAATGAACCTATCTCACAATCTTTGGTAATTTGGAAATATAACCTAGTGCTGAAGTTTGCTTAGAGCAAATTTGATACAGATTTGTTGGTTGAATAATTTTTTATAAAACACACAGTAATAAATACTGAAATCATGCCTAGACAATAATTTTAAGAAGTAGACTGGAATAGAAAAAACTGTTCTGAACAGAAAAGAACATTTTTTGAATAGTAGGTTGGAAATTTTGAAAAATAAGTAGACTGATTTCATCTTGGTTGTTCTATCAAATTCTTAACCTTAAAAAGGTTTTGTACAATAAAATTAAGGTAGAAAAAATAATATAGGAATGGGAAGAAAATTACATACCTGGGTTTATTTGCAACACAGATTGTGAAGCTGTTGTACTTTTTGGATGCTAGAACAAAAGAGAAATGATTTTAACATATTCACAAAAGTATTTCAAACTGTCTTCATAAATAAAAGGTGAAAACAATTGCAACAAAATATGAGAGTAATATCTGTATAGAGCTAAATCATCAGAACATGTCTGGAGATACTATGAAGACAAAAAAATGAAACATTACTATATTACTATCCTGAAAAAAAATCTACCTTTCCACTCTACAAAGCCTGATAAAAGTTCTTCAGATCTCATATTGAGTCACCTTCACAAAGCTAAAAGAGATGGTCGCTTTATACACTGAACATGAATGAGAAGAGAAATTTTGCACAATTTGTTAAATGTAACAAATTACGTAGAATTTATTTTTACTAACCACATTACGTAGAATGATTACTTCACTACGTATGTAATTTTAAAAAACAGTCTTCTAAGTTGGCAATAAATAACAGATGGATACTCTTGATTATTTATAGCTAATTTATCTAAATAATGCATTATTGTTTGTGTCACATGGCAATAATTGTAAGTAAAATGATGCACTAAAATAAGTAACCAAATAATTGTTTTCAGTTCTCTGAATTTTGGTGGCTTTGTTATTTCAAAAGGAAAATAGTTGAGAAAGTGATATTAATGTGACTAAAGAATACTGCAATATAAAATTTATAAATAGAATCATGTTGAAATTTCTTTTGAGTCAATGATTTTTAGATGCTATCTGTAAAATTGATCCATCACATATTTACAACTCACACACCATACATGCAGTTAATATTTAAAAGTAAAACACATTTATAATACAAGTGGGATTTTACCACAAAAAGAATATTTCTGAGAATTTTAATATTATTCCTTAATATGTTTATTAATAAATCCATTTTACCTCTAAAACAACTTATAGTTTTTTTTTTAACTTTTTCTTATTCTGAGATTTTCATACCAAAATCTTCTGAATAGCTCCATTGGCCACTCCTGAAATATGCTAAGATTCTCATTGATAGAAAACTTTATACCTTAATGGTGAATAAACAAGGCCTCAAAAAGTAGTGGATATTTAAGCAAGGAGAAAATTTCTTGTGGAAAGTGGTGACCACTTTTGAATAATTGCAATGTTGTATTTCATCTCATTTCATAGTGATGGACAGAAAGTGGTTCTTTTGGCCCATTTTGACCCAATTTCAGCCTTAATGACACAGACAAAAAATGTTTAACAATGAAAACTTCTATTAATTTCAATGTAACATGAACTTCAATAGTTATAAGGTTTTAAATTATTGATACTCTGTCAATCCTTTTGAAAAATTTCTCTAACAATGTAACAATATTTGTGACACTTTGATCAACTGAAAGATGAGAAAAAAAAAATTATGTGAAAGAGAATAGATTAAAATTAAAATTTGAAGCATTTTTTAAATTGCCTATATTATTTTTTATACTTTCAAGGAGCAGGTTAAATTTTAGATTTTTTCTATAATTTACTATAAGGGACAGAAAAATAATGCATTTAAATTCTGTTTCAATGTTTTACAAAAGGTAATGCATTAAATGAAAATAATACAGTGAATTTTTATTTTAATATCTTAATTTTATTTTCTATGGTTGGCCAAGAATTCAGCAACCTCTGTTCATAAAGCCATTTTCACTCCATTTTGAAGGACTTGTAACTTCCAGATCACTTAGAATAAAGATAAAATGAATTCAGAAATGAGTTACACAATCTTAGCTGGATAATTTTTTAAATACTAAAGTTATGAAGTACCAAGTTGTCAAAATCTTGTAGTTTGACATGAAAATTTAAGCACATTTCAATTTGTCCTAACTTCTAAATCATTTGTCCACTGAAGCAGAATTTTTCAGGATTGTCTCAAGTAATCACGTTACCTGCAGATATTTCATTAAATTCCATTATGCAATTCAATACATATCTACACATATACAATGTCTAAAATATGTGTTTATGTCAATTTCTTCTGGTTCATAAGGTCATAAAATCTCTGTAACCAGAATCTAAATGAACTGAAATTTGAGTTTTATTATATATTCTTGAACACACAATTACTAAATTAAAAGAGAAAATACAAATAAGAAACAAAATGTTAGAATAGAAGAAAAAGTACATTTCTATCTGTTGAATTGATTGTTTTCAATTTGTAATTTACCATTATTTTAAGATCTGATTAAATATAAAACAAATATCACTTCTTCAAATGCTAATCATAATTCAAAGTGGATCACATAAAATTAATAAACAAAAACGACAGTGCAGAGAAACATGCTCCTCTTTTACAAATCCATAAACCTGATAGTGCTACACAGTCTTTCACTAATTTCTATAGCAAATGTAATAACAAATCTAATAAAATATGGTAAATTTCAACTAAGGACAACAAAAAACGATCATTACAAAGATTTGCCTTAACATGAAGCTATAATGTAAACATTTAAGAGATTTACCATACAGAATCTATGTAGTTCTAGTCAAAATAATTTTTCATGTAGCTCAAAGTTGAAAAAATACTGGGCTATTTTTTTTATTGTTGACATATGAACTTTAACAAAAATTATTATGTGTAATTTGTGAACCTTGATTAAAAATGATCTTCATTCACACAGCAAGTTAACAGTTTTTATATATATAAGAACAAAAATGCATTATCTAAAACACTCATGGTTCTTACTCTGATGTGTTGTGGTCGGAATAGAAACTGGCGGTTCAGGTTAGATTTCTCTATGATATCATTATCAGTCACAGTAAGCTGAAATAGAAGACACATACAAAAAGTTAACCTCCAAAACAATTTATAGATAGTGTAAAGGGAGTATTATAGAAAATAGCTGAACAGAGAAACTATCATATTTATATGTCTTTTTCCCAAAACCAAATGGATATGGTATATCTCCCAGTTTTATGTAAAGCTGAGGTGTCTGGTTGGCTAATGTTTACCCATATGCTATAGATTATCAGTACTTGAACCTCATCTAATCTTACAATATTAAAATTAAATAAAATTAAATGTGGGCCTTTTATATGCCATCAAATATATTATATTAAAAGAATAACAAAGTATTTCTGTCAAAATGGGTTAAACTGTTTAGAAATAATAATTAAATTCTTATATTCAGTATTTTATTCTTTGATAAAATACTGGAAAAAAATTTTATACATAAAAACATGAAAAGAATCATTGAAAAATAAGAGCATTTATACACAGATATTTATTGGGATTAAAGAGGATTATCTCTACTATAGATAATAAGTGAAAAATCAATGATAATAAAGAATGCTAGTGAAATTGCAAGACTCTTATTCAACCAGTTTTACAAATTATCAATTCAAAAAAAAAATATTGGGTTAATAAAAATATTTCCCCAACACTTCATACAATTAATTTTTCTTTTTATTTCTCAAAAAGAAACAAAACAATTATTCAATAAAAACACTACAGAATGCTGTTCATGTTAAAATGAAAATGGTTTGTAGTCATTTTGATATTGTTGCAATTACAGAAGCGCTGATCATTCAAAAAGTTTTGCAAGGAATAGAAAAGGTGGTAATCAGAGAGTACTAAGTTGGTTATGTAGAGTAGAACTACTCAATCCAAGTACAAAATCTTTTTGTGGGTTATCACTGCAATGTCTGATATGACATTGAATTAAATATTATACAATTGTGTATGTTGTTTCCTGATTGCATGAGATATATTTCGCAACTACATGCAGTGCACTTTAGGAGTGATAGTCGTTTTAAGATCAAGTAGTTCCGAGTAAATAATGACTCATTACCATCAAAACATAACTTATTTTAATGCAACTCTGATTTTAGTGTAACTATAGTAGCTACAGTAGTCAATTCAACTTTGTTTACACAGCATATTGACATACAGTCACCACTTTTCATCACCTGTAATAATATCAAACCATATATGTACACATATCGGAATGAGGCTTTGAAGTTGCCATTTATGACTTTAGAAACTTTGCTGACCAAATTCAAAATAGTCAGGATAGTAGCGTAAGTGCAGTTAAACTCCTGTGAAATGTCTTGGCTGAGTTTTGTGTAATCTCTTGAATTCCCTATACCAGAACTTGGTGAACCACTCAAAAGCTTTTTTTTGCTAATTGTCCCTCCTCAAAAATGTGATACATCAATTTTCCTGAATTGAGGGATACACTTTGAAATCATACAGCAGCCAGTTTCATTTACTCATGAAAAAGTATTTTCTAGAAATTTTCCTAATATCAGAAGTTTTCTTGACTGACAGTCTAATATTTAAAATCCATATATCCTACATGTGACTAAAAAAAAATGTAAACTTATTTTCTTAAAAAGTGACCAAGTTATTTTTATAATAATTAGAAATATTAGAAAAGTTGACTTTTGAGCAGCAGTGTTTTATAGTAGCAAAATTTTGCTATTTTCTAGATGAACGATTTCTCAATAAACTCTTATATGTTGACCTGAAGTCAGATAAACAACTCTATATATATAGTTTCTAATTGAAAAGAAATAAAAATTTAACACTGGAATAATTACCTTGACTTTCAACTGATTAATTTAAATAGAAAATGAGTAATATCAAAGACCTCAACAGTAATGAATTAAGTTGAAAAAAAATTAAATATGAGAAAATCTGGAGTTCTGAGAAAAGGAAAAGTAGCTGTTAGGAAATTCTAATATTGTTAAATAACAAGCACTTAAAAAAGAATATCAACTTCCATTTCTTTTTTTATTTTAATCATCCCTATAAAAAAAAAGAAATTCTAAGAGGTATCAGGATAAATGTTAGATACCTAATTACAAACTTATGCTTATTTACTACTTAAATAACCATTTAAAATATTTTTGCATTGTTATTACAATTATCTTATAAAGATTGTCAAATAATCAAACATGATCAAATGTGTAGCTTCTAACCAAAATAACAAATCTAAATTAAGACAAGTAACTTCAGAATTAAATTTCTATTTCATGATTATATATATATATATATATATATATATATATATATATATAAACTGCTAATACTTGCTTAATGTTATACTGTGGTAGTTACTCTGTGTCAATCAACATAAAATCCTTATAGTCAAATATACTTTTGACTGGATATGTGAGAAAAGAAGAGAGAAAGAGAGATGATGCACTTGTATTAGCTATTAAAAGAGAACAGCCAAAATCCTTTTTATTTATTTTAATGAAACCTTAGGTGTAGTATCTGTTCTTTTTGCTATACAGAGACCAACATTCAGTTGCAACATCTTTAAATGTTCAATTAAAAGAAAAAATATTCTTCATTGATAAAAATTTTTTTTATTATTTCCTCTTAGCTTTGACAAGAGATGAATTCTCTGTGAAGAACAATTTAAAGTTAACAGAATATTTGGCCATTTCGTGCTTACCATTCCTTGCTCTCCAGTGCTTAATCCTAACAAAGCAAAATCTTTTAACAGCTCACAACCAATAGCACCACAGCCCACCTGAAAAAAAGAGAAAATATTTTTTAAGAAAATGCAACTTCCAGAGAAAAGATTTAAAGAGAAAAAATTTCTAAAGCTTTAATGAAGTCATGATTCCTCAGTTCTAACATAATCAGAAATGTCATCAATGTTTAATTTTAGCAAATTTCTCTTTTGTAAAAATAATCTGCACAATGTACTTCTATTTTGGTGACAAATGAGTTATACACTACTGAAGGCATTCAGAATCCATAAAAGAGTATTTTTAAAATAAACTGATACACTTGTTTGATCCATGGGATCTAACAAGTGTTTAAAGTCAAAAATTAATCAGATTAACTAATGGATAATGTTAGTTACATCCAAATATAAATTTGGATACATTTATTTGAATGAATGTTTTTCAAAAAATTTAAGTTAAATTTACGAGACCAAACTCATAAGATTTTTTAATGGCATAAAAAATATTTCATTAAAAGGGGTCAAATGTCTAAGAATCCCTAAATGATCAAGTGTTTGATGATCAGGCACAAAATTTTTTAAAGAGGAACTACTGTCAAACATATATATATATATATATATATATATATATATATATATATATATATATGTGTGTGTGTGTGTGTGTGTGTGTGGGTGGGTGTTTGGGTGCATACATTAATGTAGGAGAATATGATATATAAATTTTTATATATCAGAACAATGTGAGGCAAATGAATGAAAAATTCTGTCTAATACATTTTGTTCTCTAGAATGACTTCATCAGACTAAAGTAATGTTTTTGTTGATAGAATTATATGTGTGTTTAGGAAATCAGGATATAAAAATGCAAATGTCCATTAAAATTATGTCCCATCAGGAAATTATAAGAAAAGAAGGAATTAAATTATTGGGGATGAACAAGCAGTTGAGAAATGCTCTTCATTTGAACAATCATTTGCATTTTCACCAAAATTATTTGTCATGAAAAATGACAAGATATAACTTTTCAATTGTAAGTGCCTGTCTTTCTTTTTCATATTACTAAAATGGTAGATGTAACTTGAAGCCCATGAATGATGATCTAGATTTTAGATGGCACTTCTTTCTCTATGCATATTTTTTCATCAAATAATTGTTTAAATTTTGCTTTAAATAAACATTTCAAAGTTAAAAGATACATTGTTTACATACAGCAAACTGCAGTAGATAATTCATTTTTTTGTTTTTTGAAAAATAAGTAATTGAAATAAACATGTTAATTATTGTTTTAATTGTGCTGACATTTTTTTACATATTATATTATAGTAATAGAAATTGTCTTTAACTTCTGTAAGGTAGAACAACTTGCAGCTTGGATTTTATTATTAATAATCTGGTTTTGCTAAGAGAAAAAAATGGCCAATTCATACTTGTTACTTGACTCAAACATATCAATGGCTAGAAGAACAACAATTTTACATTTTACAAATGACATCAGAGATTTCTTATTCAGTGGAAATCCAATACAAAGTTGGGCATCACAAGCAAAAATGTGTATGAGTGCTAAATCAGATGTTAAAATATGTAGTAGGGGTTAAATTAGATATTAAGTTTTAAAGATTACTGATTTTATATTTTTCTTTTCTGATCCTATCATAAAATAAAGATTTTTTTATATTTATTATTCTACTGTAAGCATCATTCATTTTGATTCTAAATACACATTTTTTTTTGTACTTATTTTCTGGAATTAGAACTACAGACATTTTCTGCATATAGGACTTAGAGGTTTTAGAAGTTAATGCTTAATGGAAAAAAAAGAAGTAAAATTATTTATTTTGAAAATTAATGGCAGTAATAATTTTAGACAAATGATACAGCTCAGCTCAATAACATTGTCATATATTGAGGCTAAGAGGACAAATTTAATTTTCTGTTTCGTTGTCACTTCCAACAAAAAGGGATAGGATACTTTAGTAGACCCTAAGGATGAATACTTACCATAAAAAGGTGAATCTGAGCAAGTTTTTTACATAACTTTTCACCAACACATTGTCTTAATAAATCATAACGGTCATTTCTGAAAAATAATAAAAGTAATTTATAAGAAAGGAAATAGCAAATAAATAAAAATAATGGAAGATATAATAAATTGATTGACAATGGCTTTTGATAAATGACTCTAAAAGGAGTACAAGGGAACAAAATATTTTATTCTATGACAATTCAGGCTTCAAAAAGTGTACATTTATTCAGATTTCAAAAAGTATACATTTATTCATACAGGATGCAGAAAATTTTAATAAAATATCTAGGAAGCAGGAATTATGGCTAAGTGTTAAAAAAAAACTATCAAAACTATAATCGGTGAAAATAGGTGAAAATTAACAATAAAATGTAACACTAATTCCATTTAATATAATTTAATTATTACAATAACTTGGTTATTGTTTCTCAAATATCTTTCATGGATTTTTTTTCAAAAAGAAATTATATTTTGCATTATTCTAAGATAGATTGATAAAACTACTCAACAAACAGATTTAATAGTTTGAAGGAATGTATTAATACCTGGTATCAAAATTATCTTCAGTACCACTGTCTGGCAAAATGTCTGTTACATCTAAGTACAACTGAAAAAAATTTAGAAAAATTTAGAATTAGTGAAAATTTAAAATATATGCTTTTTTTTCATTCATCAGTCATCAAATATTTCTTTTGTCAGCACAGATGTAAGGGCTAAAATTCTCAACTCATTATTATGACTATTTGTTTCAACAAAACTATTAATAATTATGATTGAGGAATATAAAAATAAAGACAGAAAGAACTGTGGAATGCCAGAAAATATTAGGAACCTTACCCATTGATCCAGGGGAGTGAATTTACCAGTGAGTGCTTTCAAGGCTTCTTGTGCCATGAAACCACCTAACACAGCACATAGTGGAGCTAAACAACCCTTGCATGTGAAAGACAATTTTAAAATTAAATTGTCATCAATTTCTTCCTACAAAGAAAAAAAAATCACATATCAAAACATGAAATCGTTAAGTTAACATCAATTTTTGCATCATTAAGTTATTGTACTTGAGAAGAAATTTAAGGTACAAGTAAATATTTTCCATATTAAGTATAAAGATACTGAAATATTGATTGAACTGATTGCTCTCTTTTAGAGAATCATTAAAATGATTCCAGTTAAATTTAAATGACTATAATTCATTACTACCACATTGTAACCTCTTATATTCAGCTCTTCAGGGGCTAAAAATGGTGATTATACATGTATATATACAAATAAAAGGCATTTTCTTTATTTTTTTAATATTTTATATCCTTACATTGGTAAGAAATATGAATTTTTTATTGGCTAACCTGGTCATGTTTAGTAAAATATTTATTTTTTTAGGATTTCTTTTAAGTGTACAACCAAATTGGTGATTAGGTCACTCTGTTTTACTATTAAAATAGCTAAATGTAACCATAAGTTCTATTCTAATAATTTCTTTTCTCACACTTCTTGTCTGTAGAACTGGTCTTTTGCTTCCCTGCTACTTACAATCTTCAAAAATTTAAATGTAACATCATTCACTATCTTCTGTCTTCCTGAATCCTGTTCTTTTATTTAGTTCTCCTTACTAAAGATTTCTCATTCTCTTTCACTCTCAGTAACCCATCTTATCACCTTGCTTGGGGTGAAAGCTTTAAAAAAAATGGTTTAAATTTAAACTTTATATTTTCTCACTGATGTAGAATTTCATTCAACTGAAAAGAGATATATTAATTAATTTTGATTTGAGGCCAAAAGATAGGAAACTAGAAATGAATTGTACTAATGAGTTCCTTTGTATATAGCAGATATTTTTTTCTCTGAATTTCTAAGATGAGATATTGTCACAATTATATTCCTTACATATTCTTTGAACTATTTGTCAAAGATGAAGAAATTGGTCAAAATGAATCAATGTATAATTATAACAGAGGTTTTATAGTTTAAATTATCAATTTTTTTACATAAACTAGTAGCAATAGGTTTAATATTATTCAAATTTCTTTGAAGAAAGGCTGATTCTTTACTTGTAGTCCATGCTGATTAGTAACAATTGTAGAATGATAGTTACAATAAAAAGCAAGAAAAATAAGAGTAAAGAACTACTAGTCAAGTATCAATTACTTCCCAGGCAGAATTAATCATTTTTATAAAAATAAAATAATTATTCAGTATACTCCTAATTCTAAAATCTCTAAAACTATGAGGCAATTATATGCTTAATGACAAGTATGACTAACTGGTGAGTATATATTAATTGATTATGACACTCTCCAAATCATGCTGCTACAAACAGTCCTTAATCAAGTTGTTATTCCTTGATATAATGTGATAGAGAGTACTGAAAGGCTGGTTCAGATAACAGCTTGAAAATGGTTTGATTTTGATTTTAGGGTTAAGTAACTTACTTGAAAAGACATTTCAGAGCTGATCTCCTTTGCCAAAGACAGTAGTATCTGCCCATCCTCCATAGATCTAGAAAAAACAAAACAAAGGTAGTAATTATAAAGAATGTAATTTTTCAGAGTGTTTTCATAAACAACATTAAGATGGAAATGTTTTTGTATAATCATTGAAAAATTTTATTAATCACTGAAAATTTCCAGAAATTATTGTGAAACAAATATTAATAAAAAACATATCAATTAACAGAGTACAAATGCATTAAAAATCAGTTAATGATAATGACAATTTAGGCTGTTTATTATACACTGATGTATAACTTCTGGTTTCAAAATTAGTGATAATGAATGTGATCATTAATGAGAATGCTATAAATAAGATTTATGTAAGACATGGCAGAATTCTAAAAGATGGGAAAAATAAATAAACACCTTATTTGTGGAAGTCTCCCATTCTTTTTCTTAAAACTGTGCAAAGCAAGGATTCCACAGTGAATATTTTTAGGAGCCTGCCAAAAAAAAAAAAAAAATCAGAATCTATGAAATAAGTTAGCAAAATATATTTAAAATATCACATTCATAAGAATCAACATGTAAGTTAATCTAATTTAGTCCAAATCACTGGAAAAAGTGATAACAGCTAGTGGACTTGAGAAATTGATCTTCTTGAAAAATTGTTTTAATAAAAGGAATTGATAATGTTCAACCAAAACTAGCACTGGATGTTTGGACAATAAATGCTGAATGTTTCCATGTAAGGAAACAGCTAATTTATTTATTTCTATAAATTTACCATTTATAGTTAAGTATTTTCAGTTATCTTGGGTTCAAATTCTGCAGGAAATTTCTTTATTTAAATGTGTTTTCATTAAGAAGCCTTATCTATCCAGTATGAAACTGAAATCTTTTACTTTAAATCAATGAAAGAATAATAAATATTTTTAATGATGGTGAAACTGAAACATTTATTAATTTATACCAAAACAAAGAAAGGATTTCAATATACGTTTTAGATGTTAACTTTTCTGTATACAGTTTGCAATTGCAAAAATATCTTGATCACTTTTTAAAACATTTTACAACCTGTAAACAGTCATCAATTTCCTAAAGCATTTGAAAAATATGTTACAAGAAAAGTAATCTTAGACTGCCTCTCTAAACACCTTAGATGAATTTCCAAATACAATATATTAATTATAATGCAGCAGTAGTTTTGTGACCGATGTCTATAACAAAAGACAACAATGTATTTATTTACACTATTTATATTTGGACTATTGTCCTCATTTTTGTTGTTGTTATCACAGAATTTTGGCCATTGAGCCATCTGGCATTCCTTGGGTGTATATCGATCTAAGTAAGCTACAGGGAATTATAAGCTGGACCCTTTATTTAAATAAAAATTAATAAGTGAGTCAATTTTACCATCATAAAAAAATCTAAATAAAAATAAGAACAAGATATCCCTGGACATGAGCAGTGGAATGACAACAGTCTACCCCCATAGTTTAAATAATGGGTTCAGTTCAGAATTCCCTGTGTGTTACTCAGATCGATATACACCTGAAAAAGCTTGGAAGGTACAAAAACATTATGATAACAACAAAAATGAGGACAATAGTCCAAATATAAATAATGTAATTAATGATAACTCCTTAGCCAAGAAATTCAAACAGAATCAATGTATTTATATTGATTTCGCAATTATTAATGTCATTAAAACATCATTTGTTTGATAAAATGTCCCTTGTTTTGAGGAAATTCTGAAAAGAAATTGCAATTATTTTACTAAAGATATACTGTACACCCTAGCAAACTGCATGACTTTTAACATAATTTACAAGATATTTCTATGTCTGAATTAGATTCATTTTTTTAAACATTGCATACTATATCTTCAATTTAGAAATATGGGTATAAATAAAATGTATATTTATAGATTACTTACATAAAACTTGCTAAAGTCTGGAGTAAGCAAAGTTGGATTTTTCAGTTGGTTTTCAAGGGATTCCTGATAAATAAATAATGAAATAAATAGTTGAATTTTTATCTACAAACTATGAGCATAAGTTAAAATGTTTCTTTTGTTTTTACAGTATATTGGTATTACATAAAATTTCAGATAAAATCTATTTTTAACTAACTTTGAATTTTTCTTGAGAACTTAAAAAAGTGATCAAACTTAGTCCTCTTGTTAGCTCATACTTGGTAGGAAAGCGCTTCCATTCCAGACCATTGATAATAAGTATTCAACACAACTGAAGATAAGCATGCTAGAAGTCATTTTGAAAAATCTGGGAATAATAATTTAACTCTTACCAAAATCACTTAAATCTTTCCTTTTCCATACATTTCCTATATACAGGGACAGCAAATTGATTTATATATTTCTAAACCTGAGAGCAGATGTTATGAGACAGTAGTTATCATTCTTGTCACATGTTACTGATCATAACATTTTCTCTAATAAGTGAAAATGAACACTCAAATGATTTTGGCAATACAGAAGAAATCCTTTTGAATGGTAGATTATAATGTCAAAGGGATGAAACTAACATGAATTAGAGCCAGTATATTTTACACTTATTGTTATTGGCTCTTGATTGGCCTAACAAAGTAACTGATGGAAAGAATAATTTCTCAGTATCTATGAGTAGTTTTCCTTTCATAACCAGTGTTTATCATTTCATCAGTATGAAGTCACTTTTCTTATGGATATTTAAGGAATGCAAGTTTTAAAACATTTTTTTTATGCTTTATGACTTAAAAGTCATTTTTATTCACAATATAATCATTGAATTTTCTTGAAAAATTCATAGTGATACATAATAAATATTTCTTTCAAAATGTTTAAATTTAAGAAAAAATTCAATTGGTAAAATAAAAATGAAACCGAAAATGTTGAGCAATAAGAGGTAGATTCAGTTTTAGGTAACTTTTGTAGCCATTGTAACGAAACATAATAAGAACTAATTAATTCAACTATTCAGTGAGTTAACATTTAAGAGAATTTGCTGAGGCTGATAAATATTCAGTAGTTGAATATATAAAAGCCACTAAAAGTGTGACCATCCTGGGTATGATGATAAACTACATCTGCATCCTGGGTAAGACATAAACTATGTACAACAGAAAGGCCTCTGATCAGGAAGTTTTGAGGAGCATGGAACCACCTCTTAATTGCTGGTGTTCTCAGGTCCTCCTTGGCTGTGGTGGTAGCACCAGTTAGGGTCCCAGCTATGGGCAAATAGTTAACTCCCAAACTGGGGTCAAAACACTATGAAAGTGTAAAAATAGGTTTTAATACCAGAAATACTTTGTAAACAATTATTACCAGCAATAAATTTTTGAAGGAAAAATTATTACCAGCAATACATTTTAAAAAAAAAATATTACCAGCAATACATTTTTGAAAAAAATAATATTACCAGCTATGCATTTTTGAAGAAAAAACATTACCAAAAATAGATTTTTTGAAGAAAAAATATTGCCAGAAAAAGATTTTTGAAGGAAAAAAAAATTACTAGCAATACATTTTTGAAAAAAAAATATCAGCAATAAAAATTTTGTTGGCATTAAATAACCCATTGAGGTTGATATGCCATAAAACAAACCAAACCAAAAATGTGAAAAAGAAAGTAATAAAATAGTGTTCATCTATATTTCTCATAAATGTTGAATAAATATAGTAGCACTTTGACTACTGAACTCAACTGCTCATAGATATTCTTTAAAATGGGGGTTTAAAAATTTAAATATTTTTTAACAAACTACTATCAACAGTACTCATATATACATAAATAGAGAAAAGCATACTTAAAAAGTGAAAATTTGAGTGGTAGGTTTGGAATTAAAAGAGGAGTTCAGATTTCATAGGGAGTGAAATTTAAGCTGTTTAGATCAAATGGCAGGAAATATTAATGACATGCAAATGAAATTATCAATCTTATTTTGAGCAGAGTAATTTTCCAACAGGAAGATGCATAAGAAAAGCATAGTGATGATAGTGTTTTAGGAAAAAATAGCACTGGAAAAGTAAAAGAAGTAAATTATATTTCTAAATAAAAGAAGATATAACGCTCAATGAAGAAATGTCATTATTTTAGTCTAATTAGATGAAAGATTTTTCTTTAGAAGTGTTTCCAACAGAAAACTCAGTCATAAGTAAGGAACTGAAGAGGCTAAACAGAAACATAATCAACTCTCAAAAAGTCCCCCAAAATGTAACTTTGCTTATAAAAATTTGATAAGCACACAAGTTAAAATTGATTTTGTTTTTTTTTAAAAAAAAAAAACATTCGAAGATAAACTTTCAATAAAAGGTCTGAAACATTTCATGGTCATAGGAATGGTTAAGTCAGAGCAAATTTAGAACATAATTGAATTCTGGTGTCATGTAAAAAAGCATATTCACATCAACTTGGTTAGTGACTTCATCTTCAATGCTTTCATATGTACAAAGATAAGAATAATTGGTATTAATTTGATATTCATAGCATTTCTTTTATTGCAAGAAATTAAATATTTGTTTAATTATCTTTTTATACTATATGTATAAATTCTTTTTTCAAATGAACTAGTTTTTGAATTACAATACTGTTGAAATATAAAACAGTGCATGTGGTGTTTGTTTTTTTATGGAATAACTTTGCTTTTATCTTCAGAAAATTAAGTCATTTGACAGTTGTTTGCAGAGAGTTGCATCAATGTTGCTCGCTTCATCTATGACTTCCGAGTTGTTATTAATGTTTCCAAACTTTTTCCCCCCAACCAGTTTGATTTTAATATCTACCTATATGTTCTCTATTAAGTTTTAACATTTGATAATTGACTAAGCCTAGTTTGAAGCTCAAACCATGATTTTGCTCTTTTTGCTGTGTGTGCTGGAGTATTATTTCCATCATACAACTTGTCCAGATTTGAAAGAAACCCTTTTTGTTATAGATTTTGTAACATGTTTGTGTTAATGGACTTCTCACACTGTAACAGCTCAATAATGCCAGATGCAGACTCACTACAGAATAATTCCACCTTCTACTTTGACCTTTGAATGCAGGCTTCTGGAGCATTGCTAACAGTTCAATGCATGATTCATCCTCCCTTCTAGAGAACAATGCTCAAACCACAGAATAGCATGGTGACCATATTTTGATAAATATTTGAATCGGTTTATAACATTCTTTGGACAGCAACAGTTTCTTGCACACTAATAAAAAAAAAACTTGTTTCATTTTAACCTTCTTGAAATTCTTCTTAGAACAAGATGATTTTTTTTAATTTCTGAATTCTTATTCCAATTTTGTTAGTGTTTCTATTCTTCATGATAGTCATTTTTTCAGCCTTCTGTCATCTTGGCTTTCTATCATTTTAGCTCATCTGGAATTTACTTTTCATGCCACTGAATTGTAAACAATGGAATCTAGTGATTCTTAAATTTTAAAAGCTTCGGAATATCCAGATAAGACTTTCATGTTTATTGATGAACACCAGGCATTTGACTTCAATAGTTGTGCAAAATTTAGACATTTCTGAAGAATGACACTTCCACTCTTTTAGAGAGACAAGGCAAAGATATAACAGCTAGTGAATGGTTTATAAGGAGTTAAGCCAAGACATATACAGAACTGCAAAAATGACTATATAAATAAACTTGTTTTATTTTTAAATTATAAAAAAAAACTATCGACAATTTCTGACATTCTTATACACATTTAATTTAGATTTTTTTTTTTATAGATTATGACATTATTTTACCTCAATTCAATAAAATGACTAACTGCAAAAAATATAATGAAAACTGCTTGCCTCATTTTTGTATCTTTTTTTGCTATGAAGATTATGCTACATGTAATTTAAATCATTTTAATGACTTGCAGTGATTTTAAATTTCTGCTGACATGAATATTAAATTCACCACTGTTCATCAGCCTTTTCCTGCTGTTGATCATGTGATCAACATTTAACATTTTCTCACTCACAACAATCTTTACTACTTACAGTTTTATTAATTTATTTTTCTCACACAAACAATTAGCTTAGCTGTTGCTATAATTTGCATACACATACAATAGGAATGAATGCTTTGAACATGTATTAAAATATATTTATGCCATTTAAACTTGGAACATTGTAAATAAGTTATGCTGACTAATAAATAACATCCATAAGGCCACTATCCTAATATAGTGATTGTGATCCTATACTGGGAGTCTAATGGTTAACATACATAGATAATCCTATGGGACAATAGCCTTCTGGGTATACAATTCCTGGCAAAATTATAGAATCAGCACAGTTAGAGGATTTCATTCAGTTTTTTTTTTATTTTATAGTAAATAAAGAAATCAAAGATGACACCAAACAAACAGCTGAACATGCCAAAAAATTACTTAGAATAATTGCATTTAATTTCTTTTAAGTATTGGAATAATTTTTGTAAATGATTTTATTACACTTTTATGATGACCTGAATTATCTGAGGCATGGACTTCAATAATAAAAACCAAAATTCTCCATCAACATGGTTCCAGCTGGAATAATAGCTGACAGGACAGTTTTGCAAGATGGTGCCTTATTATGGACTATTTTTTTAAATTTCTGCCATAAATTGTAAAATGTATTGCTATCAGGATTGTTTGCTGATCATGTCATTGAGTTGGTTTGTCTTTCCTAAACTAAAAAGTCTTTACTCTGTGACAAGATGAGTTATAACCCTGAAAAATTATGCCTTTATCATGAAACTTAGTTTCTAGCAATAGAATGAGAAAAGTGTCCAAAATTATAATGATCACCATCTATCCTGGTCCTTTACCTGTCATATAATCTTCATATAAGATATGACTGGGTAAATTTGCTTGCAGATTCATGATTGATCATTGAATATCATTTTTATCCAATCATCCACACTCTATGATGGATACTTTTTCATAGCCCACTCTAACCTTCTTTTCTTTTTAGATGTTAGTACTAGTTTCTGTTTGGCTTTAAATGTAATTCTCATTCCATTCAGCTAATTTCTCATAGTTTTGTCACAAACATTGAATCATGTTTCCATCCATTTATTTTTCATTTTTTTTATGTACATTTTCTATTTTCAAGGCATAATACTTTGAATTTTATATCCTGACAATTAGATATCTTCTATAGTCTATCTATATGTTTTCCCTTTATAAACTTCCCATTTTGTTTATATTTTCATCCAGTTTTAGACAAAAATGACTAAAAACAACCAACATCTTTTGCCATAATCTGTGTTGGGTCTTCTTTCTCAAAAGGGTTTTATAATGTTTTCCAGTGCTTCCACATTGACAGCTCTGAGAGCATAAAAAAGACATTTTTACTTTCAGTAAAATTTCAAGTAGGAATGAGTTGTCCTGGAGAAAGATAGACTGTTAAGGAACTGGCATGCCTGAACAATATGGCTTTATATGGAAACAAATTCTCAAGATTCAGCTTGTTATACTTAATAAGCATAAGTGGTATACCAGAGACTATACTAGAAATGCATGATCACATATGTTTATACTTTAGCACTATTTTTTCATAAGAAGTTATTATTCTTATATTCACCTATAATATTTTAACTGAAAAATATTACCCCCCTATCAGAATTGCATGATTAGAGTCTGAATATCAAGTTCAGTTCATTAAACACTGCTATTAAAAAAAAACTTTTCATGGCATAAATGATGAAAGTTATTCCCAAAAGTATGAGTGTTAATAATCAATATTTGATTTAGAGATGAGAAATGTTATTGATTTTGATACTGATTTATATCACTTTCCAAAACTTATTACTGAAAGTGATACTTGTTGCTTATTTATCTGAGTATGTACATGTGAATAATAAGTAGATAAATAAGTCACAAACAACAAAATGACACAGAAGAATTATAAAACAATAATAAACTTAAATGAAGTGTGAAAATCATAAGAAAAAATAACTTTTGTTTTTACTTTAGAAAACCTAGAAACTGAAGGGAGGAATTAATTTTATTTTCTTCTTTCATGAATACTAATTAACATTTTATATCATACTCACATGATAACCCTTTTTAGGGACCTTGACTTGGACAGCAATTCCTCCATGTTCATATGGACCAAATTCCTCAGAACTTGTATCGCAAATCTCAAAAGTATATGGGGATATCACTGAATAAAAAAATGAAATAATATTATAATAATAATATTTATCACTTGGATGTAAAGAAATCTTAAACATTTGTTTAGATAATTGCTTAAACAGTAAAACATTTTAAGCATATATTAAGAATACAAAAAATATAGCAAACAATTATATTTTAAGTAAAGATCTTGTAAGTTTTACTTTAAATTTTAATGACTAAATTTTAAGCAAAGTTCTAGGAAGGTCACAAGAAATAAGTTAAAATATTCTAAGAAAGAAATATTAACAAAATCTAGTAATTTAAAATAAACATCAAAATATTAACAAAATTGACCACATTCTTATTTGTTAATGATTTAAACTTTCTTTGTAGTTTTTTTTATCCATGATGCTTTAAAATATTCTGATAGACTATTTTATATACATTAATATACAAACTAACAGAATACACAAATTTAAAATTTTTATTAAATTAAATGCATTAAGAATAAATGAAATGCATATTTAAATGTTAAAATGTTTAACATGCTAAAATATTATAATAAAAATCAGTTAAAGTATACAAAGGATAAGAATAAGCATTCTGAATTTTTTATGATTTTAGATGTTTACATACAAATTCTAACCAAGCTAAAAGAATTAAACAAGAAGCCAGAAAGACACCCATGTATACTGATCACATTTCTATTAGCAAGAAAATTTAAAAACTATGAGGTATTTTTTTTAAATTAGAAATTACCAGTTACAGTGCACATAGTTGTATTGAGTGCTGTCATTCCATTGATTTCCTTGAAGGTCACAATGTCTCCAGTTTGGAGATGGTGCATCCGATTCTCCAGACAGGTAACAACACCTGGATTAGCCTATGTAAAACAAAATAGAAAAAAGTCAAGCATTTAATGTTAATTTCAGAAATGTAATTTTAGCAAATGATAATCTTAACATTAATGGAAGGATTTAAAAGGAATTGGAAATTAAAAAAAGATTTCCAGGTGATCTCAGTACCTAACTATGATAAGAATGAAAATCAATCACACTGTGATAGTTTAAAGACAGATTTTTTTTACAAAATGTTTTTCCAAATCATAAAAACACAAAAATCTGAAACTCACAATCATTCTGCATCTTAGAAAGTGATGTGCAAGTTTAGATTCTAGTAATTACTCTAGTCTGATGATTTATATAACTGAATATATATATGGCATATTAGTAAAATAACATAAAAGAGTAGAGGTTTTGTATAACCACAAAGTATGGCAGGCTGAATAACTATGAACAGAAAAAGGATTGAATGTCAATAATTATAAAATAGTTTAAATAATTATAGCACTTGCTAACTATAAAATAATGATAATGTTAATTAAGGGTCCACCCATATTTTAAACAAGTCAAAACTAACAATTTCTGAAAGATATTAATTAATTAATATTTCTAAAAGATATTAATTCAAGAATTACATTCTTAGCAATTGGTGACAAAACTGAAGAAATGCATAAATATTGTAAAAATTCTTTAAAAATACAAAAGAAAATATTGTTTTCCTTGAGTTTGAAAAATTTTAAATGTAATTTTCTCCATTAATGTCAACTATTTTATGAGAGTACAGAAAAATTCTTGAACTGACCCATATCCCAAAATCTGATTAATTGACCAGATGTCTTTTTGGAAGGATTTCTTAGTTGGGCCAAGAACTTTTCAGAACTTTCGTATGTGTGCTACATTTTTTTTTGAGTGATACAGATAACAAACAACCAAAAATCTTTAAACAGAAAGAGTATATTTCTGTAAGATCAATGCTCATTCACATTCTGCAAAGTTAATTATTGCTCATTTTACTAAAAAGGTTTCAAAGACACAGATTTAATGGCATGTTTGACAACTACAGCACTTCTCTATATATTAGGATGGGACAAGGACACCTGAAAATAATGATAAAAAGATATTATTCAAGTATTACTCACATATTTAACAAATACTGCTTTTATAATGATGTTTAACATATGTAAATATTTCAATATTACAGAGAGCAAATATCAAATAAACATAACATTAATAGTAAAAAATATTTGTAATTCATAAAAGCAATATAAAGCAGTAGACTTAGTACTATGATATTTGTATCTTTGAGATGAGGCATGATCAAGCTCCGTAAAGACTAATCTACTTATTTTTGTTGAATAAGTAAATCATCAGTTAAAAAGAGATACACTTGTAAGTAAAAGAGTGACAGTATTTAACCAGCATACCATTCAGAAGAAACAGTATTATTTGATTAAATTAATGAATAAATAGCTGAATTTTTATTTTACTCTAGTCTGGAATTCATGCAAACAAAATTACCTTAGTGATATTGGAAATAAATACTTCCTTCGGTTCTTCTCCATTGGCATCAACAATATCAAATTCCTTACCAAAGTCACAAAATGTTCCACAGAAAACACCAAACACATCACCAGATATAAACTGGAAAATATCAAATAAGTCATAAAGATAAATGTATCAAAAATAAAATTAATAATAATGATGATGATAATAGTTGCTGATGTCAGAAAATGAGCATATACAAAGGTTATTCAAAAAGTTCTAAGCCTAACCCAGAAAGAAGAGCCATAGCTGAACATTTTTGTTGTGGCAACATGCTACCACTTCTTATAAAACTAGAAAAACTAATTCAGATTTCTGTCTTAATTTCTGTGCAGGTAAGGCCAATACAAAGGTGAGGGGTGTGAAACAAATTTAAAAATGGACAAAACAGTAGCTAGAGCAGTCATAAAGTATCTGCAAAAGTATGAAACCCAAAGAAATTCATGAGGATAGGATACAGGCACTTGCTGAGGACTCCCCCCTTCCTATGTAAATGTGAAAAAGTGGACTGCAAAATTCAAACAAGACAAGGACAACACAGAAGATGACGCTTGGTCAGGTCATCCAAAAACCTCAACCAATGATGAACAACTTTATGACATTCACCATATGATTTTTGGATGACAGCCATCTTACTGTCCAGCAGATAGTTAAGTCCATAAGCTTTAGTTATATTTTGATCCATACTGTTTTAACTAACATCTTGGGGTAGCTATCTGAAAGATGTGTCCCAAAAAGTTTAAAAGGGTTGACATTTCCAGGACACTTCTGACTTGCTTACAGGCTGTCCCTGAGAATTTCCACTGCAGATTAGTAACTCAAGGTGAAACCTGGGTTCACTAGTTCAAACTTGAATCAAAGATTCAAAGCAAACAGTAGAAACCCGCCAAAAAGTTCAAGCAGGTAGTATCTTTTGGTAAGGTTATGGCTTCTGTTTTTGTTTTTATTCTGAAGGTGTAATCATGATAGACTACCTAGAAAATGGATGTAGCAAAGGAGTCAAATTCAAGAGTGTAAGGGACGCAACTCTTTCCGTCGGAAAAAGTGTGACACGATGCAACGCAAAGCAATGTACACCGAACACGGCTGTAATGCCCTTCTGCCAATTTCTCCAAGCGACCTGCTTTTATGGAGCCCAGACACACCTCATTAGCATGCGTGTAATGCGACTTTGCGTGACTGCACGAGACCGTGAATATTAAAAAGTCACGGATGCCATCTTGGATCTTTTCTTTCTTTTCTCAACCCACAGGCCAGACAGACGCGAGGGCGTTTGGGGGGTAAGCCATTTCTATTTTCCCCACAAGGGAGAAACTATTAATGGACAGTACTATGCACATCAGAATTAAGGCAACTGAAGGAAGAAATCAAGTTGAAATGCAGAGGAAAGCTGAGGGCAGATGTGCTCTAGCTCCAGGATAACATGCTCATTCATACTTGCAGTAGCTGAAGCAGTCAACAGTAGCTTTGAATTGCTACACCATACCCCTTTATTCACCAGACTTAACTCCGTCTGGCTTCTTCCTGCTTCCTAAACTCAAATCACATTTGTGTGGTTGTCATCTTGGAAGCAATGATGAGATCATATATGCTGTGGAGGAGTTTTTGGAGGACAAGGACATCACCTTCTTCCATGATGGGATGCATTGTTTAACCATCATAGGACCAGGTGCTTTGATGTCAAGGAGACTATATTGAAAAATAGTGAAAAACTGTCTTGTTTCTCCAACTCCTTCTGAGTGAGGGGTAGAATTTTTTGAACCATGCTCATAAAGGCAACTTTTAATAGCATAATCACTGTTCTGTTAAATCATTTCATAGTGATTTTTTTCATGAAATGATTAAACTAAAATGTGAAAATATTCAGAGATACTTCAAAAATGAAAATAGATATTTTTGTTGTCATATGTCTAAAAATCAACAAAATTACAAAAATTATAATCTGTCATGGTTTTGATCAGAATTAAAAAATATTCAAAATGACAAAAAATATTTTTGCATCATTAAATTAAATTTTCTCTTTTTTTCTATTTTATCTGCACGTTAAAAGTGTCTAAAAAAATCTGACCAAAAATGAATGTTCTTTTTAACTCAAGTTATATAAGATAATCTTGCTAGTAGATAAAATCAGAAAAAAAGACAAAGTAAAAACAAAAATCCCTGTATCATATATATATATATATATATATATATATATATATATATATATAAGAAAGAAAGCACATAGAATATTTTTATAAGATATATTACCATCAAAAATATATATTTTATTTGCAAATGATTTTATAATTTGGCATTTAAAACACATAATTATTTGACAGTCTCAAATCCTACCTTGATTTAAATAAAGAATATTATCAAACTCAGCTTTATATTGGCATTTATTTCTACAACATATTTTATATTAATATAATGAAATAAAATCAAGGTAAACTGGGGCAGTGAATGTTTTAAAACTTGGGAGAAATAAAATATAAAATACAATTTCACAGTTCTCTTTTGTAACTAGGTTTATAGTCAAGGGAATGTTTTAAAAGATTTGTGTATAAAATCTGAGAGATTATCAATATGGCTGGACAGGTAAAACAAGTAATAAATATATGCTTGAGATCTACATACTACATATTTTGAAGCTGAAAATAACTGATTTCATGCAGTTTATATATATATATATATATATATATATATATATTAGATAGACAATTGATAATGGAAATAATAAAATCTTCTGAGAAACATGGTCTTACTTTTATGTGTGGATCTTGCTGTTGACAGAATTCATTCACTTTGAGTTGAATATCCAATGAACACTCTGTCAAAATGACACACTAAAAACAAAATGAGAAATTTAGAGGTAAACATTTCAGCGATTTATGAATTATTTATATATATATATTTTCATTTTAAGCATTTCTCCCCAATGAAAGCAGGAGTGCAACTAGCATGCAAGGGGTTACAGAGAGTGGGAGCAAGAGTAAAGAGGGTGTGATAGAGGAAAGGATGAAGAGAATGACAGGGAATTAGATCAAGGCATCTGATGTCAACTGACATTGCATTTGAATAATTGAAGATTATGACAGGGAAGCAAGCAAGAGGAAGGGAGTTCCACAGACAGGAAATGTGAGACATGAAGCTATTGGAGTAGAAGAGACAGCTACATTTAACAGTTTTGACAGTGAAAGGGTGGGACTGAGATGCCAACCTAGTAGCATGCTTAAATTCATGCAGTTTGGGAACCAGCAAAAGTAGCTTGTCGGAGCAAGTACTATGAAAGTATTTGTAGAAAAGACAGAGGGAGGTGATGGCCCATCTGTGAGAAAGTGATTGTAGAAGAGATGCCAGATCAGGACCAATTACATTGTATATCCATCTCTGGATTTTGTTGAGGACTTTAGATGAACAGCGGAGGCTCCAGACAATATATGGCAGCAATATTCCATACAAGGGTGAATGGTTGATATATAGATTTGAAGGATGGACTCAGGTGAGAAAAACCTTCTGGCGTGACACAGAGAATCAACTTTCCTTGCAGTAGATGAAGCTGACTCAATGTATTTGTTCCATCTCAGGTCAGCAGATAGTGTGAGACCAAGCAGGCACAGAGAGTCGCTCTCGTGGAGTTGAGCATCAGACATTCTAATGGGAGGCAGAGAGGGTTTTCTGTGGTGGGTAAAAGGGAGCAGTTTTGTTTTTGAGGCATTAAAGTTAACCAGCCAACCAACACAGATTGGAGGTTCTTTTGGAGATCAACAGCCAGGTTAGTTTTGTCAGCAATACTAGATTTGCTATTGAGGCAGGAGTAAATAGTGGTGTCGTCTGCATAGATACCTACTTGGGAACTGATAACATCAGGAAGAATGAAGATCAGAAACAGTGTAGGACCCCGGATAGAGCCTTGGGGAACACCTGTGTTTGTAAAAAAGGAACTGAAAGAGAATATTTTCAGGACGACCTGAATTACATGGTTTGACAGGAATGATTGTATTAAGTCAAATAATCGTCCTGAAATTCCATCTCCCTGAAGCTTAAAAAAGAAGGCTGGCGTGCCAAACCCTATCAAGTGCTTTTGAAATATCTAGAGCCACAGCTCAAGGTTTTCTGTTATTATGAAGTGCTTGGTAAACAAATTCAGTTATGGCCATGAGCACATCAGCAGTAGATCAGGCAAAGCGGAAATCATATTGCTTTTCAGAGAGCAGATCATAGGATGTGAGGTGCTTAACGACTTCAGCATTGATTAAAACTTCAAAGACTTTGCCAAAGGGTGGTAGGAGACTAATAGGATTGTAGTTAGATAGGTTAGAAGGATCTCCAGAATTCTTAAAGACAGGTACAACAGATGAAGACTTTCAACAGGCTGGAAAGCAAGAGTTGTTGAGGCAGTAGTTATATAGTTTGAAGAGGACAGGAGCCAGTTCAGGAGCACATTTCTTCAGGATAACGGCTGGTATCCTGTCTCCACTGCTAGCCTTATGTGAGTCTAATTTAGAAACAATACCCAACACCATCGATGGTGTTATGTGCAATATGCAGGTTAAATTAAGAGAAAGAAATAAGTTTTCATCATAAAAGTTTATTTATGGTTACATTTATGAGGTCAGTATGTCTTTAATTTAAGAGGTTTTTGATTCTTAGTCTTGAACTGACCTCGTAATCTTATGTTGTAGGATTACCTAAATGTGAATTTTTTGTTAGTTAGCATTTAAATTAATAACAAAGGAATTAGCAAATATATTTAAGTAAAATAACAAGTCAGTAGTCTCATGGTGAAAAAAAATATACACAATATATTTATTTTTTAACATAATCTCCTTCCTTGTCAATGTACATAACCCAATGTTTCTTCATTAATCATCTATACCTAACATTATAGAGTGAAAATTTCAGATCAAAAGAGACTTGCTGCCTTCCTAACTACAGTCACTCAAAAAGGAAGGCTTTTTGAGTGATTGTAAGTAAGAAGGCAGAAATCCATTTTGAAGCCTTTGCTTTTTGAGTGTAGGTAGAAAGACAGAAATCCTCTATGAGGCTTTCTTTTTTAAGTGACTGCAGATAGAAAGGAAATTGTTTGGCATCATTTATTATTTTCTTTTATGTCTGAATCCTAAAATAAGTAACAACTATTGAAACATTTCTGTCAAGAATTTTGGGACTTTCTATTTCCATAATACAAAAATCAGCCAGTTAGACTACACACATAAATATGAATACATTAATACCCACATAAAACATGTATGATTAAGTTATTTTCTTTTGCAGCAGACAAGAAATTTTCATTTTTACTTCTTAGGATACAACACAAAAATGTATTCTTCTAATATCAGAAGAGGCTTTTTGAAGAAAGACAGTTGTAGTAACAGCTAACCACATTAATATTTGATCTTTCATAAGCAAATAATGGAAAGATGTTTAGCAAACAATTCTATCCTTCTAACAATGTTTATATACAGAGAAAGAGAAAGCATATACTTTAGTTCTCAATCGAATATTGGCTTATAAATTTGGTTTTAATAAAGGATAAATTCATATTATTATTGATATGAAGAAAAACATAATTGAGTATTACTTGCTATCACATTACATAAAAAGAGATGTACCAATGTCAAAATGTATGAAAAATCCAATGATTTATGCACAATTCTGAATTCCTATATTTAATCCAATTACCATTATGATAATATAAAAAATAATATATACAGAATATAAACAGTATCTTTTGCTTTTATATACAAACAATTTCATTAATGGTGTTAAACTGAAACAAGACTTAAATTAGTCCTGAGCTGACATCATAGTTGAAAACAAAGTCTCAATGTTATAAAAACAAATCTAAACTTTCTATAATAAAAGAATTAATTTTAGCTAGTTCATAATATTAATTAATGTGGCTTTCAAAAATATTTTGCCAATTTGTGTTGACTTTTCAGCAAGTACAGAAAGAATTAAATCATCAAAAGTAGAATATTTTATGCACTCAAGCTTTAATGCTGTCAGCCAATAAAGATTAGTAATTACTTAAGATAATATTTTAATTTTAACTTCCTGCAATAGTAGTAACATAACCATGTTGTTTTAAGGATTTAGCAATGATAATTCTTTTCAACTGAAGCTGAAAGAAAAAAAAGAAATTATGATTCCATAAATTGTAACATGTCTGGAAGTTTTATAAAAAGTATTTGGAAATCATGGAGAGAAGGCCAAGCAAAGTGTTAAAATGGAAAATATGAATAAGGTCAGTGAGTGCTCAAAGAAGATTTCAAGTTGAATAACTGGGATAAGGATGGGGAGCATCAGTAAACTGTCAGAAGAGGAGGAAGTGAGTTTCTGTAATGGCTAAGGGGAGGTAAAAGCAAACATTTTTATCATCAAAAAGATTAAAGAAAAGTAAAAGCCATGAACTTTAAAATTCTTTGAATGAAGTAAAAAAGAAAAGAAACAAATTCAATGAGAGAAGCAGAATTAAAGATATATAATAGGCATGAAACATTTAGAAACAGCACCTTAGAAAATGGAACACACAAACACAGTGATGTGCCAAAAATCATGGAATGGTGCCTAGTATTGTGTCAGACCCAAACCAAGTGCAACAACTCAATGTGGCACTGATTTCACAAGTTGTCAGAAGACCTCTAGAGAGATGTTGCACCAGGCCATCTTGATAACTGATATTTGAAGTTATAAAATCCTACATGTGAATAGGCCTCTATACCATATCCCATGAATGCCTGATTTGGCTCATCTCAAGTAATTGGCCCCACTAGGATCCAATTACAGCATCATGAGCCCAGGTGAAGCACTGTGTCCTGTGTTGTAGTGTTAAAAGGAGTACTTTGATGGGTCTTCTGCTCCAATATACCATGGAAGCTAAGGTTAAGTTAAAATGACCTGTTGAATGTTTGACACCACCTGTATCAAATATGGATGTGATCCGAGCCAGTTTTACTTGTCTGTTACTGCAAACAATTCTAGCCAGATGTCTTTGGTCACAATCATTGGTCAGCCGGAAGACTATTCACAGTGAGTGATTAATACTTTCCTATAGGTATTTCTAGCACACATGTGATAGTGTAGATCAAGGAATGCCAAATTCCCCCACAAATCTATCTGGCACCCACTATTGTGACCATTCTGATATTTCAAATCACCTAGTGTTCACACTGTCTCAGCAGATATCAGAAAACAATTGATGTAGGTCTGGACATTTCCATGACATCAAGGTATGATGGCATCACCTATAATCAAATTAAAATGACTTTTGGCACATGAATGTGTGTGGGTGTGCATATATATATATATATAGTGTGAAAAAAATATATTTATTAATTCAATTTAAATAGAAAACAGATAACCTTAAGGTTGTCTGTTTTCTATTTAAATTGAATTAATAATTGCTCTGATTTGATATTGAGTTCTCTGGATTACATCTTCCTTGGGATTATCCATACGGATTACCAAACTTTTCATTAATTAAATATATATATATATATATATATATATATATATATAAGAACACCGGATTATATATCTTACTGTTCTTTTTTTTTATTTATATACATATATATATATATATATATATATATACACACACACACACACACACACACACTTTTCATTACTTATATATATATATATATATATATATATATATTGAGAAATGTTTCATTGTATAATTTAGACAAGTTTTGTTTACTTATTTTCAATTGGCTCCTTTCATATTTACGGATAAGCTTTTTGGTGTAATTAGTAAGGGAAGAGAGAAAATCGCAGTGTTGATAAATATTATTTTATTCAGAGTACTTTCAGCATAACACAATGTCATGATAAGGGT